CGGGAAACCTGGCAGCGGGATTCTTCGCTGTGCAGGTGCTTGTTGGCAGCTGCAGCCAGGTAAGCGTCCCCGCCACTCCAGTTAGTGAAAGAGGGCCTGGGGTTGGTTGCCTGCAGCGAATGGGCAGGCTGAGCTGTCACTTTTCACTTCGTGGCGAATCGTCTCCTGTTACGTACTGTAACTTTCAATACGCAATCCCCGTTACGTGGTAGATCTGGCTTGACAAGCTCACAGCACGTCTCAGATGCATGTAACCGAGTATAGTGATACATATCAGTTTAGGTAGCTGATACTTTTAAGGTGGGGCATCAGCTGGCTGGCTGTTTGCGCCCAAGTACCCAAACGACAGGTGTTGAACCTCATAGTGAGGCCTGACAAAGCAATGCTTGATATTGTTCCCTCGCTCCGGTCGCCAAAGTGCACATAAAAACCCGTCCCTCTGACAGCTCCCTCATGCGAACATCTGCAAGGTTCAGACCTTATCTTCATCTTCTAGGACTCCCGTCCTGCGATCTCCAAGCGGAAGCAGGTACATTCAGCTCATAAGTTCAGCCTCCCCCCCGCGGAGCAAGTATCCTCTCCCCCCACATCCCTTGCTCGGATTAAGTCATACCCAATCATTACAGCGCTCGAGGCCCAAACAGCTCCGCTCGATTCGCTAAGCCCCAAATCGCCCCCACCAAAACGGCCTTTCAGTGAAAATTAATTCTTTGACCCCTCTGTCCGCCTCGCCGCAGCCGGGTTTTGCTTTGCCAACCATCCGGACCATCACCACTTCCGTCCACCACTCCAAGTACCCATACCGGTAACCCGGACTTCTGCCTCGCGCCCATACCCCCGGAACCCGCATATTTATTCCGAGTCTATCGAAAGAGACCGCAACCATGTCTCGTTTCTTCCGCGGCGGTGACGACAGCTCCACCGACAGCAGCTCCGAGGAGGAGGAGGTCTACACTTCGGAGGAGGAGGAGGAGAAGGTTCAGGCCGAGGACGAGTCGTCGTCTGAGGAGGAGTCTGACGAGGAGGAGAGCGACGAGGAGTCCAGCAGCGACGAGGAAGAAGGAGCCAAGAAGAAGGGTGCCTCCCGTTTCTTGCAGAGCGACGACGAGTCCGAGGAGGAGGAGGAAGAGCAGAGCGACGATGAAGCCACCACCAAGGTCAAGAGCGCCAAGGACAAGCGCTTCGACGAACTCGAGTCCACCATCAGCCAGATCCAGAACGGCCAGAAGATCAACGACTGGAGTCTTATCGCCAACGGTTCGTATATCCTTCATGCATGTATACGCCCTCGATCTGTCCTGCACCGATGCTTACTCCCCTCCCCGCTTTAGAATTCGACAAGCTCAACCGTCAGGTCGTCAAGCTCCAAGATGGCAGCAAGGCGCCCAAGTCCTACATCAAGGCCATTGCCGATCTTGAGGACTTCATGAACGAGACTCTCGCCAAGCAAAAAGTCACTCCCAAGAAGATGAACGCGACAAATGCCCGTGGTCTCAACGCCGTCAAGCAGCGCATCCGCAAGAACAACAAGGAGTACCAGACCCAGATCGATGCCTACAGGAAGGATGCGGACGCTTTCATGGAGTCGGATGATGAGGTTGCCGCGCCCAAGGTTGTTTCCAAGGTCCGGTTCGAGGCTCCCGTCGTCAGCGCCGAGCAGCAGGAAGAGGACGACAAGGGCTTCTCTACGGTCGATTCGCGCGGCAAGGTTGTTCAGTACACCCCCGAGAGCATCCTCAAGCACCTCCGCGCCATTATCGAGTCTCGCGGCAAGAAGAACACCGACCGCCTCGAGCAGATCAAGGTTATGGAGACCCTCAACAAGGTCGTCCCCATTACCCCTTACCAAAAGATCCGTGTCCTCCAGACCCTTATTTCTGCCCGCTTCGATCTTGGTGCTGGTGGCGCCGCCCAGATGCCTTTGGACCAGTGGAAGGCCGCTGAGCGTGACCTTGCCTCTCTCTTGGAGATCCTCGAGAAGGAGAAGGACCATGTTGTTGTTGAGGGCGCTGAGGAGTGGGATGATGATGACAAGCTCCCCACCATCCCCGAGGGTGAGAAGTACCTCAAGGTTCCCGGCAGCGTTGTCTCGCTCATTGAGCGTCTCGATGACGAGCTCACCCGCTCCCTCCAAGCCATCGATCCTCACACCTCCGAGTACATCGACAGGCTAACCGATGAGGGCTCTCTTTACAACACCATCTTCCGTGGTCTTCTTTACTACGAGCACCTCCGCAAGGATGCTTCCCTCGAGGTTCCCCAGGAGAGCTTGAACCGCATCATCCAGAGGCGTCTGGACCATGTTTACTACAAGGTACGTATAGAGCTAATGCTGGAATACTCAGCCGTCTTTGCTAATCATCTTGTTTCAGCCCGCCCAAGTCGTCAAGATCCTCGAGGAGAACGCGTGGAAGCAGGTTTCTGCTGAGGCCGATTCCGAAATTACCTCCCGCAGCCAATCCGGCGATGCTGGCAAGCTCATCAACATTCTTTCTAACTACCTGTTCGAGAACAGCGAGGGCATCATTCGCGCCCGTGCCATGCTTTGCCAGATCTACTTCTTGGCTCTGCACGATGAGTACTACAAGTCTCGCGACCTGATGCTCACCTCCCATCTTCAGGAGACTATCGCCAACTTCGACATCGCCACGCAGATTCTCTACAACCGCACCCTCGTTCAGGTCGGCCTTTGCGCTTTCCGCAAGGGTCTCGTCTACGACGCACAGAACACCCTCCAGGAGATCTGCGGCAGTGGCCGTCAAAAGGAGCTTCTTGCTCAGGGTGTCATGATCCAGCGTTACAGCCAGGTCACCCCTGAGCAGGAGCGCCTCGAGAAGCAGCGCCAGCTTCCCTTCCACATGCACATCAACCTCGAGCTCCTTGAGTGCGTCTACCTTACCTGCAGCATGCTCCTCGAGATCCCTCTGCTCGCCCAGACCGGTTCTTCGCCCGATGTCAAGAAGAGGATCATCAGCAAGACCTACCGCCGTATGCTCGAGTACCATGAACGCCAGATCTTTACCGGGCCTCCGGAGAACACCAGGGATCACGTCATGCAGGCCTCCAAGGCCCTTGCTGCTGGTGAGTGGAAGAAGGCCACCGACTTCATTCACAGCATCAAGATCTGGGACTTGATGCCGAACACCGAGGGTATCAAGACTATGCTCGCTAAGCAGATCCAGGAGGAGGGTCTCCGCACCTACCTTTTCACCTATGCTCCTTTCTACGACACTCTCGCCATTGCTACCCTCAGCTCCATGTTTGAGCTCGACTCTCGCAAGGTCTCTGCTGTCGTCAGCAAGATGATCAGCCACGAGGAGCTCGCGGCTGCTCTTGACCAGGTCACCGAGACCGTCATCTTCCGCAAGGGTGTTGAGCTCAGCCGTCTCCAGAGCTTGGCTCTCACTCTCTCCGACAAGGCCAGCTCCCTTATTGAGACCAACGAGCGCACGCTCGAGCAGAAGACACAGGGCTCCGCCAACGCCTTCTCCAGGAAGGACAACCGTGGCGGTGGCCAACGTGGTGGTGGCCAGCGCGGTGGTAGAGGTGGCGCGAGGACGGGCGGCAACCCTCAACGGCAGGCCGGTGGTACACAGTTCACCGGTGGTGCTCTGGGTAATGCAGTCCGTGGTTAAAGCTCCGTGGAATAGGGAAATTGGTGGTTTTCGTTTTGCTATTGCATTGGGCTTTGGTGTGTGACTAAAAAGCAATTCCCCAGGTCTTCTAATGGTGCTATCCCCTTGAATGTGTCGCCCCATGGTTAGACCCAGCGAAGTTTAGTCTAGAATCATAGGTTCTCTCGGTTTAATTTGTGTTTTTGGTTCGGGCATAGCTTCACTCAAAATTGCGCGTTTGATATTTTCTTCATGATGTGTTAGTTTATCATATGGAAATTGTCTGAACCTGTGTATAATGTACACCATGTCAACCTGAGTATTCCTACAGCCAACCCGAAACGAGTGATCTTTGATGAAAAGGTTTGCTCCATCTCTCATATGAACGAGACTTAGTTCCACGGCTACTAATCTATGTAGTAGCTGTGTATAGGATGAGCCCGTTGGAAAATCGTGATCATCATTCTAGGTGAGCCACACGGGATCAGCGATTACATTCAACCGACTTATGATGAGGCGCTATGATCTGCATTGGGCCGCTTCATCATTACTCTAGGTAATCTCAAGACACCGAAATCTCGGGACAATAGTAGTGTTTGAAAGGCTTCAATATCAGACCCAAGTATTATCCCCCAGCTTAGCCCAACACAAGACAGCATCTGATGAGTTTACATGCCAGCATGACAATAGTGAGATCCCGGTTTTTAGCCAAGTAAAAATACTTTGTAGAGCCAGCCGCTCCGAGCGAAAACATCTGTATGACTTGAGTCCAGCCTGATCTTGGTAATAAGGCAAGCTGAAGATCGGTGTGTGTCAAGCATGACATGGAGAGAGATGGCCAGGACCACGGAGAAGCCCTTGTGAAAAGTCTGTCCTCTTCCTACATGAACGGGTGCCGCACATGAATCGTAAGACGGCTTGATCCTAGGTAACTTCGCTCCATTATCATCCTGTACCTATTGCGGTGAAGTAATGGTGCCAAGCAAGAATACGAAGCAGACAGAAAGAGTGTGGTCTACAATTAAATATGCCGAGTTTGAACGATATTATGGGGGAAAACTGTGTCAGTAGTGGTTTGGGTGAGTACTTGTCAAACCCAATCGGAAATGGAACAGAAGGGTAAGGAGCAACAGGTTTTCTGGCCAATGTACCAGCTGAAGCGAGAAGCACTCTTTAATTCTTGTGGCCAACAACCCAACATTTACCGTTTGTGTGAAGTACCTATCGTGTATATCCTTGGCTGAATACAATGATGGTCAAAAAATACTGTCCCCCCCCCTTCACCACACTGAATCAAGTCTTTTCTTTTTGAGTTGGTTTGGACAACACGGTGACCATGCGTGATGCATGCACCAAATTGCTATATGGCGGCCGAAAGTTCAGGTTCATTTTCCATTAGATCTTAATATTGAAGTGCATTTATCTGCCAATTCGAAGATGAACGACAACCGAGTAACACCTCACGGGTAAGGTTGTATTGATGAATCAAGAAACACTCCCAGGTTCCTGGGAGCAGACCACACAACTACGACCCGCAACTGGATTCACAAAGACAAGCATACATGGAAAGGATCACATTGAACACACACGAAAGCCAGGCTGCGATCTGAGCTGCCGGTGGCAGCGAAGGGGGTTTTTTGACTCCCATCTATATTCATCTGCTGCAGTTGTGCCAAAAGCAACATGTGACAAGCCAGATCATATGGAGACCAGGCAAATTAAGGCCGTTCTCCTCGTAGTTGTCAACGCCACAGAGAAAACCAGATGATAACCGTTTTTTCTTTTCCGCCCAGAAGCCAGGCAGCCACTCTCTGATAAATCAGAGACGACGACCACGGCGACCACCCTTGCGACGAGTAGAGTCAGAGGGGGTGGGGGTAACGTCCTCGATACGGCCGATCTTCATGCCAGAGCGAGCAAGGGCACGGAGAGCAGACTGGGCACCGGGGCCGGGAGTCTTGGTGCCGTTACCTATGGAAGTTGTTAGGATCAATCATGTGTTTAATGTGTAAAGGGGAACACATACCACCAGTGGCACGGATCTTGATGTGGAGGGCAGTAATGCCGAGCTCCTTGCAGCGGGCAGCGACGTCCTGGGCAGCCAACATAGCGGCGTAGGGGGAGGACTCGTCACGGTCGGCCTTGACCTTCATGCCACCAGTGACACGGCAGATGGTCTCGCGGCCACTGGAATCACCCAGGATGTTAGCCTCAGAACCGTCATAATGTTTGTCTTATTGTGGTCAAGTTCAAATTCTGGGAGATGGAGCCGGGATCCAGGTGTCGCAGGATATGGCATGGAATTCGCCAAGTCCACTCCTTCCTCTCTCCCCGAATACCGCCGATTCCATCCGCCAAAATCGATTTCTCGTCGCAATTGTTTCTTTCAAGTGGTTACGAACCTGAGATCGGTGACGTGGACGAAGGTGTCGTTGAAGGAAGCGAAGATGCGAGCAACTGAATTGATTGTGAGCCTCCTATTTTGGCCAATGTCGCTGTCGGAAAATCGCAATTGCAGGTCGCAACTTACCGCCGAAAACGAGCTCACCCTCACGGATCTGAGGGCCAAGGGAGATGTTCTCCTGAGCGGGACGGGCGGCCTTCTTCGGGGGCATCTTGACGGTTGATCTGGTGTCTTGGACGTGTGGTGTTGATACTGTCAAGTGGACGATCTCCAGTTTTCCAGCATAAAAATTCGGCGGGGGTAGTTCGACTTCGTGCGGTTGAGAATGCCCTATCGAACTTGGCGGTGAAAAGTGGCAGAAAGCGGAGCACAGGGCAGGCACCAAACCTGTCGGACAAACCCTAAATCCCCTTGGCGGCTGAGCCCGGGCTCCGTGCAGCCCCACTGTTGTCAAAATTTCGCGGGCCCTACTTAACGATCGATCAACGCCTTTTTTCTCTTCTGCTCGTACTTCGACATCGAATTCTGGCATCGTCGCAGATCGACCACCGGCACCATGTCTACGTATGCCAACCCCGATCCTTCCCCTTGACGCCAGAGGAATGGTATCGTCGCGTGTTTCAGGAACAATCTGCAGATAGTCGTGGTCCTCTCACTGGGTGTCTTTGGCCTGTCTTTTCGCGGAGCAGCCATCGTCCCAGCTCGATCCCTCTCATGATTCTCCCTCTTTTCTCTAGGCCTTGGACCGACCAGGCTTGCAGACTGAGAGATGTCTCGTGGGGTGTTGGGGCTGAAGGTCTCCTGGCCTTCTCCCTTAAATTCATCGCTGCTGCGACAGGAACTTGGACGAAAGTGTGAAATCTCGAGTCTTTGCTTCCAGTCCCAGTTAGCTCATCTTTTGGGCATTTGTTGTCCAGGTTGTACATGGTTGTGTGATCCTCGCGCTGAAAATGCCGAGCGCATCTCTCCAAAGTTACACCAAGCAGCTATACCGAGCTGCGAATCGAGTCAGCCACGAGAGAATGCCGCACTTGAGCAGCAGTTCTCCACCGGCGCTCTACCACATACCTCTGGTATGCTGGACCCGTACTAATCTGAGATGTTTAGTTCCGTCCCCACCAAGAACGATGTCCTGGTCCCCGAGACCCTCCTGAAGAAGCGCAAGTCTCAGGAGAAGGCCCGCGCTGAGCGCCAGGCCGAGATCGAGAAGAAGAAGGCTGTGAGTATAACCACTTGAGCTTCCCCCTTCCAGAGGACAACATGATGCACAACATACCATAGCGACTAGGTTCGCCGATGCTGTTGCTAAATACCATCTTTCGGGTCTGACATTACACCTCAACAATGGACTATTTGAACTCACTTGCACTGTTCTAAATTCGTTGCTGACTTCAATCAACAGGCCAACAAGGAGAAGCGTGCCGTCATCTTCAAGCGCGCCGAGACCTACGTCAAGGAGTACCGCGACGTTGAGCGCGAGAAGATCCGCCTTCAGCGCGCCGCCAAGCAGGATGGCTCTTTCCACATCCCCGCTGAGGCCAAGCTCATCTTCTTGATCCGCATCAAGGGTATCAACAAGATCCCCCCCAAGCCCCGCAAGATCCTCCAGCTCCTCCGTCTTCTCCAGATCAACAACGGTGTCTTTGTTCGCGTTACCAAGGCCACCGCTGAGATGATCAAGATCGTCGAGCCCTGGGTTGCCTACGGTTACCCCAACCTCAAGTCCGTCAAGGAGCTCATCTACAAGCGCGGATACGGCAAGGTCAACAAGCAGCGCGTTGCCCTCACCGACAACTCCATCATCGAGGAGAACCTCGGCAAGTACGGCATCATCTGCATGGAGGATCTCATTCACGAGATCTACACCGTTGGCCCCAACTTCAAGCAGGCCTCCAACTTCCTCTGGCCCTTCAAGCTCTCCAACCCCACCGGTGGCTTCCGTACCCGCAAGTTCAAGCACTTCATCGAGGGCGGTGACCTCGGCAACCGTGAGGAGCACATCAACGCTCTCATCAGACAGATGAACTAAATGCAATTGGGGTTTCGTTGAGATCTCACGAACCTTGTCTTGGTCGTTGCGGATGCATGGTGCTCGGCGTTAATTGGGAAGCCATAAAGGCTGGATGGGAATGAATGCAACTTTGTCGTTTTCCGATCACAAAATCTGGTTCACCGGTGGATTCGTGATCCTAGCCTGCTCCGTAACTGGCCTTGACTTGGGCCCAATTCTATCAAGTTTTGTGTCTACCAACATTGTTTCTACTCGTGATCGTATCCCCTAAAGTGACATATATGAACAAGGAAACGCTTGTTGCAGCTCTATTATACATACTCAGTAGACGAGGCCTCCTATCCAATACAGTCACATAACAATACACTCAACCGTGCTGATGAGGTCCTTCGTTTCATTACCTAATCCCTCAGATCTTGATATCAAAACTCGTACCACAACCACAGCTACTTGTCGCCAACGGGTTATCGACAATCTTGAACTGGGAACCGATCAACTCCATGGTGAAGTCGACCTTGCTGCCCTTGAGCAACTCCAACGAGGGCCCATCCAAAATGATCTTCGGTAGCGTCAGATCGGGGGAGGACGGCGCTGGGCTGTCATCAGGGTAATAGCTGAATATCGTATCGTCTTCACGAATCTCTGATTCCTCCGCGGCCTCTTCGGCAAGAGGCAACTCGGGAAGTTGCTCTGGGAGGGTGACCAGTTTCATGAGGTATTGAAAACCGTGGCAGCCGCCGGACTCGACTTGAATGCGCAGCGCAAGGTAAGGGTTGGAGTCTTTGGTCATGATTTCTGAAAGGCGCTGTTTCGGCAGGAGGTTACCCATGTTAGTCGGTCTGTCCGCTAGCACAATGAATAGGAGGAAAGGGCCTAAAGGAATAACGAGCCTTCGCTGCCCGCTCGGTAATTTCCAACACCATCTCGTTCCCATCCTCGTCGTTCTGGGGGTTGAATAACGTGTGTGTGGCCTTGCTCGGGGCTGTGGTAGTGAACAGGCGCATGTTGAACTGGCTTGGAGATAGGGATTGTCTGGCGCGCCATGGTGTCTTGGAAACCGGAGTGGTAGTTGGAACAGTCGCTATTCTCCTGGCGACGCTGTGGTGAGCGCGCGCACGCAGCGGGAGCAGGATATCGGCCAGAATAGGGGACGGGGCGGTTCGGCGCATGCTCAATTGGACGAAGAGGCTCGCTGGTGCGGGCGCATTGGCGCAGCGGAGGGGCGGCATGACGACGGCGGTTGTGTAGAGGTACTAGGTGTAGTTGTTCGCAATTTGCTAGGTTCGTCAGCGTTGCCGGAGATGGCGCTTGGTCGTGGCTTGGGTTGTAAAAAAATTGCCGTTCCGGGAGCAACTGGACAAGAGCGGGTGCGTCGGCGCAGGTAGTGACGGCGGGGGAGATGCGGAGTTTCGGCTTTGGGAATGTGTCAAAGCCGGTCACTTTGGCAGCGAATTTTCGGGGCGGCGCATGATGTCAGGTCCGCCTGCGAACGGTCTCGGGAACCACTGATTGCGTTGAATGATGCGACGGGTGGGCAGGTGGCTAGCAGCTGACAAATCAAGGGATATCTTCGTCCCAAATAACTTCCACTTCAGGAACCACTGCAGTAAATGACCTCACTACCAACATTTCTCGAGGAAACTACACGTCTACAGTCCAGTACTGGTTTGTTTGTTAGCTCGAGACCGCGTGTCAATTTTCCTATGCGTCTTTATAGCTAAGTAACGCGTATTATTAACTTGGGAACGCCATTCTTGATATTCAATATGTTATATCAATTCCTATTAATGCCTTTATAATTCGTACTCACCCATTTCAATTTATCCTTGTAAGCTTTGGGACTATTCGGGACTGATTTCGTCTAGTATACACCACCAGAAGTACCTACCGAGTGTACCAAGCTAACAAATAAACCAGCATCGGACTGTAGACAGGAATACCATTCAAACTGAGGAACAATCATCCCGATCGAATCAATTCAAGGGCAATGTATGCATGCGGAGATTTGGTAATGATCACCAGGCTAAACATTACTTTTCCCAAGGTTTCCTGTCTGTTCAACCTCTGAACCATTAAATGCGAAGCAGTTGCTCTTCAACAAACGTCGAAACTCATTCCTGTTGGAAATTCCCAGAGACATATAACAAAAAGTAGTGGTACAATCCAGCAAGCGACAGTACTGGCTTTGCAGGTCACCGATGGACACAACCCCTGATCTCTTCTCCCCAGAAGCTGTTGGTTTCAAGGATCATCATGAACCAGCTTGAAAGCTTCCCTTCAAGACCTAAAAGATGGAAAACAGTTGGCTTCCATCGTCGGGGCATGCTCCCGAGTCCACCCTCTCATCGCCAGCAATCAGGCAAATCGAGCCCTTCTCACTGATCGGTGCAAGAGCAAAGCTGGTTGCTCCGTTGAACGGGAATTGTTGTCCGGTGCTGGTTTCACCCTCTGTGTGTTCGCGGTCAGAAATCTATCATCTCGGCAAAGCATTGGTGATTCGACTCACCACCAGCGGCACGTCCACCACAGGAGAAGAGCATGACTGTATCACCAGCCGCTCGGCGGCCGTCAAAGTTGAGACAGCCCTGAGTCTGCATAGACCACGCTCAGTTAGCCCGACGTCGCTCTTCACCACGTCATAGATGTGCAAACAAACCAGAGTGCTGACTATCAAAGCAGCCGGTGTCCCATTTTTGTCCTGTTGGTTATGCTTTCCCGAGGTAAGAACGTCCCATTTCTCATTGGGGGATCCAGTACACTCCACCAGTAGAATGGGGATCAAGTTCTCGCGAAAGTCGCCAGCTGTCGGATCAACAAAGAGACACCGTCCGTCGGGGGCCCGGATCGAGACATCGCTGAAAGTGCGGGTGGCCGTATCATCTCGCTGGTGAGACTCTGCAACTGCTGTGGACTGCAAAGTACCACCTGCCCGCGAAACCGGTACAGCTTCGGTCGGGTTGAAGGTGGGAATGCCGCCGTTTCCGGAACTGCTTCCTGGACCTGAACCCGACCCGCCGTTCGGGGACGAAGTGACGGACGCCGTGGCCGTAGCATCAGCTGTCGTGGTGACTTGAGTGGCGAAGGTTGTCGGCTGTTGTGAAGTGGTGCTCTCTTGTGCGTCGGTATTTCCCCCAGTGTTGGTATCCCCTCCCGTGTCAGCGTTTCCTCCTCCATTGTTGTTTCCACTACCGGCGCCGTCTCCAAAGGCGAACGACTGGCTAGATTCGCCCGGGTTGCATGGTGCAACGTTAATAGTGTCACCCGAGACCGTGAAGCATGTGTCCTTTGCATTTTGAGGCTGGAAGGAAAGAGGTCCAGATGAGCCGTCAAAGGCAAATATCTGGGAGTCAGTGACCTCGCCACCTGGAAGATGTCAGTGCCAAACATCTCTGTTGTAGGGTACTTTTGCGACAAGTTACTTACCACCATCAGCTCGGCCACCGCATGAAAAGAGAATGACCTGGTTTCCAGCCGCCCGACGGGGATCGTAGCTGAAGCAGGCTTGTGTCAACGTGCTCACCACGAGCATACCACCGTCTCCGGAGATATGCTTGCCGCTCGTGATAACATCCCACCCCTGACCATCGGTAGAACCACAGTCGGCAACCTGTATAGGGGTCAAGTTTGCGCGGAAGTCGCCGGACAGTTGGTCAACGAAAAGACATCTCCCGTCCGATGTCTGTCATCCAGTTAGCATTGGTTGTTTCAAACCTTATACTTTGTTTAAGTACCTTGATTTGGACATTGGAAGAGGCACGGGTAGCACTGTCGTCCCGCTGTTGGGCTTCCGCCGTAGCCTCTTCGTTGAGCGAATCGACTGCTCTGGGAAGCAATGGACTGGCTCTAGCAATCGCTGCTAGCGCGAGCATAGAACCAAGAGAGGCAAGCATAATGAAGGAAGAGGAGATTCAACACTTTATCGACTAGTGTCAAGGTGTTCAAGAATGATCAGGGTAATGAACGAAGGAAAACAATGTCTGTGTAAATGAAGGTAAACCTGCCAGCAGGTAAAACAGAAAATGTCTGCAAAAGTACACTTAGGAAAAAAATAAAAGAAGCGATGCCAGTCACAAATTAAGCGTAAAATCGCGAACGCTATACCGGAGGGAATAAGAACCTATTTATTCCAGGCCACTCCGGCAAGAACCAAGACATTGTTTATGACAGACGCAGTGTGAGGGCGTTAAGCGCCTGTGGAGTGATTTGGCGTACTGGTTGCTGTGTCCGGCCCAGTTCGGGACTGATACTTTGCGTAGAGTTTCAAGCCGCTCTAGCGCGTCCTGCAATGTCCAAGTACCCAAATAGAAGATCTCTTCGCACGTGGCTTTGACAGAATATCGTGGCATTCGCAGGTATCTTCAGCCGCAAGCCCGGAGAGCGGGAATATGTCGTTTCGGTGAAGACAAATTCCAAGTTTACGGGGCCTGTGACCGGCCCGCTCGGAGCGCCGAGGCTGGTAATTGGGACATGGTTGTGTTGGAGGACTGCAGCGACCTGGTCATCACCCGTCGTTAACCTAGACGGCTATCACCTGAAAAGTGATCAGTATCCGTGATGAGGTTGACAGAGGAATTGATATTATCATGATGAAACCGTGTCTGTCAGAGATACCACGAAGCTGGCGTTAACGAATGGCAGCTATTTCAAGTCTTCCAGACAAGCACCTCGCTCATTGGCAAGAAAACCTTCCCGAGCGACGAATTGTTGTGTAACCCAGTCCTCATCCATCCCTACCATTGGTTCAATGATGCAGGAGGTATGGCTGTGGCGGCATGGGAGGCCAAGTCTAGAGGGCGGCTCGCGGATCTGGTAATCTGAAGATCTCCCGAGGAGACAACATCATGTGTGCAGGTATCGTGATAGTCCAGCCTATACGAGAGAGTGTGTTTTTACACAGGCCCTGTGACCACTACACACGACCGCCACTAGGTCTGCAAAGGGTACCTCCGGTGTACAGACAGGTATAAGAATGCCCATCTCACCAAGATCAAACCCCTGTTGATGTAGATATGGGAACGTTGGTGTTGCAAATATGCATCACAAGGATTGGGTTTAGTCAAAATTCTTTGAAGAAGGGGGTGTTTGCATTGACAGAGGTTGCTACCTTACTGTATCAGGCTTGCTCAGAATTTACGGAGGTCATTGGCCGATTGTGATCTACCAGGTACCTCGTGGTGTCATCAATGATGAGCAGCCTATGTTGCTGAAGAATGAGTGAGCGAGTGTCCATGATGAGTGATTGTGAGTCCCAGACTTCACATGCGGAGATGATGGATTCACACAGTTAAAGTCAACAAGGTTGCGCAGTGGAGTGGAATGGAATGCGGACTTTGGACTTGAGCTGGGATGATCCCAAATAATTCCAGACGCTGCAGGTGTTCTGCCAAGGGAGCTTTGCGGGGGTTAGGGTTGGTATGGCCGTGATTTGGAGGCGCTCCCACTATGTAGGCGAGCACAGGCAAGGTGCAGAGGGCGGAAGGGCCACAGCCCTAATCGCCGCGGCGGTACTGGCCCGTGCAGTCTTGATGCCAAGACTTCCATCCACCTAGAAAATTTCCACCGCCGGCAGCTATCGCGACTCTTTGCACAACCGAGCGAGCAACTTCAATTAAGTCGGCTAATCAACCCAACCAACCGTCAAAATGCCTGGAGGTGTCACTGTTCGGGACGTCGAGGTAGGCCACTACAGATCTCCGTCTTGAGATCTCCTCTGCGGCCGAACCAGAAACTTCAAATCGCAAATCGCTGTCCGAGTCCGAGTCGATCGGCTGGCAAACGCAATTCTGAGCCCTCGAAAGATGAGCTGAGCTGGAGCTTGCCGAGCTGGCCGGCGATCACGACGACGAACCACAACCAGCGGGCACGACAACAACGAAAGAAGAAAATGGGAGCAGGCGCGAGGGGGTCGAAAGACTTCCGATGACGGAATCATTGCTAATACGGTACTTCTATGTGATATGTAGCCCCACAAGTTCGTCAACGCCTATGCCGCTTTCTTGAAGCGCCAGGGCAAGCTGCCCGTTCCCGGTACGCTTTGCATCCCAAAATATCTCCCTGCAGAAGAGGCTGCCGGCTAACTCGTGATATCAGGTTGGGTTGACACCGTCAAGACCGGCCCCGCCAAGGAGATGCCCCCCCAGGACATCGACTGGTTCTACGTCCGCGCTGCCTCCGTTGCCCGCCACGTCTACCTCCGCAAGACCGTTGGTGTTGGCCGTCTTCGTCGCGTCCACGGCACTGCCAAGAACCGTGGCAGCCGTCCCTCCCACCACGTCGAGGCCTCTGGCTCCGTTGACCGCAAGGTCCTCCAGGCCCTCGAGAAGATCGGTGTCCTCGAGCACGATGAGGAGAAGGGTGGCCGCCGTATCACCCAGCAGGGCCAGCGTGATCTGGACCGTAAGTTTGCTTCTGGAAACAATCTTGGACGAAACGGACGCTAACGGACATCGTACAGGTATCGCCCAGACCGTCATTGAGGCCGATGAGGAGGATGACGAGTAAATCCGTCTCTAGATATCATGAATAATATCTAAATCTTCCCCCATTCACGAATACGATACCCCCAGTCTCTGGAGTGAAGGTTTTGCGTCGCATGATTTTGTTTTCCCGGTAGCATATCAGGTTTCAGGTGTCAAATGGATTGCTTCTTGGTCATGTGTCGGGCTACTGGTCCTCCAATATCGTAAACATCCCAGTGTGAAATATCACCCCTATACATCCAGAGACCCCTATTGACTTGCCTGTGCTCAGTGCCAATGCCGTGGGTATGTCTCATTTCACCCATCGTAGTGTATGTACCCCTCACTTTGTCGTCCAATCTTCAAAGTGAGGCTTGCGAGTTTGCTAGGGAACGTTTGTTCCCTTGCGCGCCCACTCCTGTTACATATCACGCCGGAAAGAGATGGTTTGACAACACTCTCGGACCTCGCGCGTTTCCTCCCAAATCACAATCGATATTCTACCACCCATCTTGCCTGCGCGTCACACTCCACTCATACTTTGGAATTGGGAGAATCTATCAGCAAGATATTCTCTCGGAGTCAACCGTCTTCATTCACTCCAACTCCATCACCACCCTCGCGTTGGGGCAATACTTTCTGTATCACGTCTATTCTTATTATTTATCGGCGTTCATAGAAGCCAGTACCATCACCAGATTTTTTCTGTCCCGCGTTTATACCCAAAACAACTTCGTGAGATCCTCATCTCGTTCTGCTGTTACCTTGAGCTCACCTCGAGATTGGTGGTCCAGACGCAGGATTGCGAGTTCCATACCAACTGTGGCATCCAGAGTCGCATATCCTCACAGAACGACTTCACAAGTCATATCACCACGGAATCAAATCAAACATAGGTCACTATCATCCAACATGAAGCCCTCCGAGTTCATGACAAAGGCGCTTGGTCTACGCACAATACATGAAGCTATTCTGGAAGGAGACCTCAAACGGGTTACGCGGATCCTTCACCAGGACAAGAGCGCCGTGAATACTCGGACCATCAGAGATCAGGTCACCCCTTTGCACTTGGCTGTGCTCAATGGTTCCCTCGCGACGGTCAAGCTGCTTCTGCTACGGAAGGCTTCCTTTAGTATCAAAGACAAGAAGGGATACACCGCACGACAGTACGCTCGTTCAGCAACTATAAGGGCAAAGAAATTGAAGCAATACGAGCGACTTGGCTGGCAGCCAGCCAAAAGGAGGAACAGAAAGGCTCGGTTCATTTCCACCATATTTCGCGAACCGGAAGCCCTTCGCGCGATACTTTCCGCGAATGACCATCCTCTCTCAGGATCCACGATTCTGACAGACGGGACGAAGCTGGCAATTTTACAGAAGGTTGTCACTACGAGTCTGACGTTTCCTGTCCAGAATTCTACCTGTGGCTTCATCGCGTCATATATGTCGTCTGTCCCGCAGATGATAGCAGTCAGTGGATGGAAGGGCGAGGGGCGGTCATCCACCCAAGGGGTCCTTCCCAATGAAACAATGACAGCTTTGGTCAGATATGCATGCAATATCATGGGTTTCCGGCTCTACATGCAACCATACGATTGCCCAGGAGCGAGTGTCGTGCCCCCGGAGCATGTTGGGAGGTATATGGCATCACAGTGAGTTCTTCATTCATATACCATTCATTTTCCCCTGTCCTAACTTATAACAGCATTGAAAAGCAATTATCAACAGCTTGGGTCCTGAAGCTACTCCAGGACTTTCTCAAGACCAGTGATTTGGCCCGCATGGGTGAGCTGAAACATATCAAGCTACCCACCGAGCGATCCGAAGCGAAGATATTCTTGAATCATAATCCATGTGGCAGGTCAGTCTAATTTCAAAACTTGTTATTGAGCTTCGCGCTATTAGTTCCTTTACTAACGGCCTCCTTTTGTAGTTGTTTGGGCTATCTAGCCAAGATTCGTCGGGTGACTGGCGTCACTTTTGCCGTTGAAACCATTCCGTTCGCAGTCCCCGGAAGTCGAGCCAAGTCTACGGTATGCTCCAATTGCGGCGCGTGCAATATAACAACTGCTTTACAGCCAATCCCGCCATCGGGTGCCCGAAATTCTGCACCTGCCGCCGAGGCAGAGACAGATATAGTCGAGAGAGACAACGATTACGGAGAACTCTGCCGGCAACAGAAGTTCGATGAGGATGGACCCATGGACGACTTCGGATCGCTGGCTAGCGATGAAGATAATGAGCTTCAAGATGAGCTCCCAGTAGAGCCGAGAGCCGACGACGAAGACCAGGTAGAAATGCAAGAAGAATTCATAGCCCCGATCAAGCCGAAGACCGCCACCGAACCAACTCGCCGGCAGGTCGTTGCTTCTAGACGGCTCCAAGGATTGCTAGGCACCTCTCCTCCGGGTCACTGGGAGGTGTTCCAAGGGCAAAATTTTTGTGCCAAGCCGTTGAAGGGTGCAAGAAAACGGCTAGGGCTCAACCAAGAGGAATTCAACCAATTCCTCGAAGCACAGTCTCCTCGACGCTTTCTGGGATCGCCAAGGGTTCCGTTGAGATCAATCAAATTTCGCACAACTCAATCCGGAGCTCGCCTAGAGGTACTTGGAAGCCCTCTTGCGGCGCCAAACGCACAGGGACGGTCTGACCAAGTGGTGAGAGAAGAGCATTTCGGCCGAGTACCCAGCCAGTCTCAGGGAAAGGAGGAAAGGTGTAGCCCGCCAGAAGGGAGCGACGGGGCCTGCATTATACAGAAAGGCAGCGAACAACCCATTGACTCGACCCAGGCCACCACCATTTCGTCAGTGTGTGCTTCTTTACTCGAGCCTGTATCAACCATAAACGGCCGTTCGGTTTATTTCCAGACTCCAGTTCCCGTATCGGCCCCATCACCGGCTACAGCTCTGGATCCGTCGTGTTTACCGTCGATAGCAGCCTCAGTACAAGGACCTCCAGTACAGCATTTCAAACGTCTAGATCAGACTGTACAGCAATCTTCATCACCGCCGCCTCGCTTGGAAGTGTGTCTTCCACGCCTAGATTCATCGGAAAGGTCGCAACATAGGATGATACCAGACGACGAACCCAAACAGCTGAACTTGAAACGGTTCAGCTACCGAGGAAGTGCGCATCATAAAGATGTCTATCCACATCTCTTTGGACCTCCAGCTTCTTCTCACTTATTTCAGCGTCTCAAAGTAGGACAGTCAAAGGGGTTACAAGCCAGCAGTACGCTAAGTTTGAAAAGCGCTATCAAAGACGCATCCGCTTCCACTAGAAAGCCTAGTATAGCAGAAAAGCATATACGGCCCAGTAAGATTAGACGTATCCAGGAGAGGAGCGTGTTCGCTAAAGTTGTCAGGCAGTGTCAGGAGAATCGGCAGCATCAACAGCAGGCAAACAGCCAACAGCGGGACGAACATGAGCTACAGCAGCAAAAGTACGTGAAAGAGTCGATGCAACATGGTGGGCACCCTGTGACTTCAAAGGAAAGATCCCCCGATGATACAGGGTCTCGACAAGTCTTGAAATCGATCGAGAGAGCTGTCTCCGCTGCTCCATCCAGGGACGGCCTTAGTCTTGAGACCCCGATTTACCTGGAGTAGCGCGGCCTGAATTTCCGTATTATTCATAACGGTGGTCCAGTATTTACCATTACGACCATTTCAGCCACTTGGTTTACATTGTACGAAGCTTGGCCTGTCTGAAGAACAGCTGTACGAATAATGATGTTGGACTAGGATGTTTGTCGTTCGATGATCAAGAGGAGTACTGAACCTCCAGGCCAAGGCTCCTAAAGGGCTCACCCAATTTATGCAGATCGATCCCCGTTCCTATACTGAAAATAAGGGACTTGGCTCTTCCTTCCCACAGCAACCCCATGCGAAGGTTGTTGTCAAGGCGAGCTTTTAGGACCCCCTTGTACTCGTCGTTCTTTTTAGTTTTGGGAGTAGGCTCGGGTTCGGGTTCAGGCTCAGGATCATCAAGCCGCCATTCCATTTTCGCCTGAAAACTCCTCTCCTTCTTCCTGGGTGGGTGTGATTCCGGCTCAAAATCGTTGGAAGGGCTCGCGCCGAGCAGGAAGCCGGCTGGTCTACGATTACTCCAGAGTTCCATACCTACCGCCCACTCGCTTTCATAACTGTACACGTTGAAATCGACCCGCGTTGCGAGCGAACAGTATTCTCGAGCTAGAAGGGCATACGTGGCATTGATGTTGCCCATAAGTGGGTTTATGGTTAGGGTTGCGGTGAGGGGTGTCCCACGGTGTGCTGGAAGGGTGGCAAAACGTGCGCCAAGCGACATGCCGCCGGATTTGTTGAGGGTTCCGTAGTAGAGCTCTCCGCCGACGCTGAAGCGACCGTAGATGCGCTCCTTCTCGCCGGCCTGGGCATTTCCGTTGTTACTGTTGTTATTGTTGTTGTTGTTCTCTCCTGGCGTAGGTGTCCAGGGATCACAGGTCGAGGAAGAGGCGTCGCCGCCAAAGTTATAAAGACCACGAAAACCCAGCAGACCACCGTCGGTCGAGTAAAGACCTTCGAGACCATACTTGCCCTTGTCATACTGCACCAAGCCCAGGATGGTCCCGCCATTCCTTAAGGACTGCTCACTGACGGCTCTTACTTGGACTTGAAGCGCTTGGGTAAAGCGCTTGATAATCATACCCTCGAGCAGTGATTTGGGCAGATACAGACGACCGTATAGAAGAGAGTGTGTGTATATGCCTAGATCCTGGTCCGTATTCCCTCCATCCAGCGCCCCACCAGCTACAGCGGCGTCTGGTGCTGCGCCTAGTAGTGCTCGTGCGCTTTGTGGTGATGGCGGCAGTCCGGACAACGGGTCGGCATCGAGTATGTAGTGTTGTTGGCCAGGCGAGCGAAGGTCGTGTAGACGGCGGTAACATCGTAGGAGAGCGGGGAGCGGGATCTTGTCGGACTGGGCGGCAATATGGGTCAGGGGAATGGAGCTATGTAGGTATGATATAGAGCCGTCGACGACGCCAACACTGCCAAGTTGGTAGCTTGTCGCAAAATGGGGTGTTGCGAGCGAGGAAAGGGTCAGGCGCAAGCCACGGGGAAGAGGAAAGTCGATAAGTTCTAGTTCGTGAGTCTTTGTATTAGTCTCCAGGTACCACTGCAGGAGGTCCACCGACACTGTTAGGATCGCACCTCTAGATGTTGCATTCAGCTCGTTGTACTTATTGTCTTCGTTCCACCCCGTTGCGCCGTAAAAGGCATTGGTGATGTAGTTCATGAACTCGCGCATGATGGAGTGCTTCCCGTGTGGTTAACGTAGTCGCGAGTCTGTCGCGCCTGGTCACCTCTGGAGTTTCATTGAGACGATATATATGGTAGGGAGGAGGAGAAAGAAGAGCGGTTGTTGTCGTTGATGTTGTTCCGTTAATTGTACGTAGTTGGAAAATCAAACATTTCCACCATCGCATTTCCACTTGTCATCGAGGTACGTACCGATGCACCTAACTGGGGCTGATGGCGCCTTGGGCTGGGCTCCACAGACCCGCTCACTAGAGGTTGTAGTGTGAAACATCCACAGTGATCGACAACAGCGATGAGTGAACAACTCTACATTTTACCTCCTCTGATGTTCCCACAAACAATGTTCAACATCGACTCTCCTCGTTCACGTATCATATCATCAGGCTCCTAGGTTATACTCGATTCGAATTCGCTACCAAGTCTGCTAACACGACAGCGCCCGTCTTATCGCTTTAGTTGACCTCGCCCAATTCCTCACGCCCGTCAGCAAAGACCTTGTTAAAGTCACCCTCGGTCCAACGAATATCCGGATTGAGACCGGCAAACTTCCAGACGCCATTGATCTTCTTGTAATAATGGGTGTTGTGACTGTGGGCGTGGCCCGTGACAGCAACCTTGGTGCAGCTCGAGTCGGTATAGACCTGGTGAGGCACGCGGAGCTGGTGGTAGCCGATAATCTCGGTGTCCGACACCTTCTCCCACTTGCTGATGCCGCTCATAAAGTGCTGCGTCCGCAAAAGGGGGTTGCCAATCACCTTCTTATCTGACACCATCTTGATGAACTCCTCAGCCGGCATGGCCTCCCAGAGCTTATTAAGGAACGAACGGTAGTCGATCTAAGCCCGGGTAAACATCAGCTAAAGTCACTTGGAGGGGATCTCTCATCTTACCCTCAGGGTCGGAGCGATGCACTTCCTCAGCCGGTCAAAGTCCTTGGTGTCATAGCTGTCCGCCCACTCGAAGCATGCCTCGGTACAGCCGAGGTACTCTGTCCTTCTTTTCAGCAAACATTATGGGGCTTGGGGGACAAGAACGTACTAACCCTCAAAGGTGATACGTTTCTCGGGGTTTGCTGCGTTGGCCATGGTTGACGGTGATATTGATCAGGCTTTAGAGAGGAGCCAGAAACGAAAAGGGGTCAGAACAAGTCCCAAGAGATGGGCATGAAGGCCTTATCACTCGTTGTAGTCTGTCTCCCTTGCAGTTCGCAGCACCTCGTCCAAGCTCGTCTCACTCCAAGGCTACACAGTCTTCCAAGGCTTCGGAGGACCGCATGTAATGCCCCCATTCCGGAGTCCGAGACGTGCATGGTGGGGATGTGCGGCCATGTCCCGCAGCCCACCGTTCCCGGTACCTGTATCTGGTTCGCTTTGGGAAACGCAAGGGGTGTTGGTATGGGGGCTTCCGATGCACATGTAGCCTCTCGGCTCTTTAGACGTCCCATGCTTTCCCGCAGTCCAGGATGGCTGGGTTTCCTCAGCCAAAAGAATAATGTTTTCTTCCAACAAAGAATATTACTCAAACAAGACCGTGCTACCCCATTATGGGTGAGACACGCTGGATGTAATGTGTAGTTTCAACAGCAGGACCGTCGGCGCCAGAATTTTGGTCTGCGTACAAGTATACCAGGCCTTGGTCCAAACAGCCAACAGGGCGCAAGACGCTTCTGTTGACTGCATACTGACGCTGCACGACTTCGTGCCATCAAGCGTAGCCCAGGCACAGGTCACAGGTTTAAATGTTACAGAGATCATGGAATATGCATGGTACAGTTGGTCTCGTGGCAGCTACCGGCATGTTGTTACGTTGGTCAGCCATTGTGCAGCCACTCAGCATAGACCATCAGGTCCGGCATGGCTTTGACCAGTGATGGTCGTTCTGCCGCGACTTTTTCCCAGTGGCGTTGCCAAAGCTGATGTCGCTCCAGTTGCTCCAGTCCGATTCATCGCCGTCGTCAAAGTCAGTGTCCTCGCCTCTAGTAAAGACAGCTTCTTGTCCGTCGCTGTCGTCGATGACGATCGGTTCTTCCTCGGTACCTCCCAAAGGTTCGATTCCTTCCCTGGCCATACGGCGAGTTTGAACACGTAGGCCAGATACCTTTGATTTCCTGCTTGCCTCAGCTAGCAATCTTCTGTCAACGACGGTTAACTTTCTGGTTCGTTTTGTCTTGTTGTGTCGCGCGGTCTTTGCATTGGTAGCTGCAGTTTCGAGTGTTTCCTCCTTCTGTTGTCTCTTGTGCAATTCGCTCCTTTCCTGAGCTGTTCTTGTGTCGCTTCCATCGTTTCCGGCCTTTCGCTTGAGCCCAGTACTCTTCGCCGACCGTCCACCCCACAGTCTCGCAACCTCATTAAGCTTGCTGAAGACCTGTATTCTGGCTTTTTCGCGATTCGTGCCCTGTCTCAGTAGCTGTTCATACTCCGTATGCTGGTGCCGGATATGTGCTCGCACCGCCAGCTTCACCTTGTCATCTAGCCGTACCGTCCCGCTTCTTCCCACTCTCCTGCTACGCTTCTTGAGCGCATGGCTCACAATCTTGGCAATGGACTCTTTGGGTGCGTTGGGGAACAGCCTCTTTAGTGCCTCTTCAAAGTCGCCTTCAATAGCTGCATCTCGCTTCTGTACAGCCTCTGCACGTTTCGCAGCTGTAGCCTGGTTCAAGTCTTGGACGGCCTTGAAGATGGAGGCAGGACAGCGAAGGCCGGTCGGTTTCCGACGTTTGTCAACCACCACGTAAACGGTCTGGCCGGCCGAATATGTCTCCTGGCGACAATTTTTAGTGATGTATACGTCTCCCTTGGGAACGAAGACGTATCCCGATGGCATGGGATCGTGAACTCGCACTTCTGGCTCGTCTTTGTCGCCTGCCATGGTGAGACGCGTCGGTGCTCTGGTGACTATATTGGTTTGCGTCAAGGTGACTTGGGACTGAGGGAGATTGGGAATTAAAATTTCAAATTGAGACTGGGGAAAAAGTGAAGAGGGGAAGCAGGTGAAAGAAATAACAGTGGTACTTGCAGGCTGCTTTCCGCCCTTCGAGTGTTCCGCGACTCGATGACCTTTTTGCTGAGTTGCCTGATGTTTTCTCGCGAAAGTGGGTTTCCTGGTGTGCGAATGAACGAGTCTTCAACAACAATAACAGGAACAAAAGATGGAAACTGAACTGTCCCGCGTTTGAGAGGACCCATCAACGTGTAGCAGCTGGCTGGGCTTTGTTTGCTTTGTTTGATTTTGTTGACTTCGTTTGATTTCCACTTTCCAACGGTAACTTACGATTTCAGGGGTTTGCACCTTCCTCCACTGACTGTTATGTGCACGGTCCACATAGGGGAATCCAAGAAGGTCATTGATCTTTTTTTTTTTTTTTGGGGGGGGGGGGGGGGGGGTTTCTTTTCATCTCCTTTCCAACCATATTCACGAAGCCGCATATATAATCGTCATCATTATCATCGACTCACTGAAAAGTACCTCCCGACAAGCGGCCGACATGGCGCCATTCCGTCACATCGATCATCTTTCATTACGGATACACGGAACCAACCAGGACATGGTGTACACTGAATCAGTGGCTGCACAAGAGACAGAAACAAAGATATTCCCATCGTCTAGTTGACAGTGAAATAAATCAGCGATGGACCCCAACAACGAACGTTACTTTCAAGCTGTTATTCCTGCAACTCCCCATCATTCTTGGCAATTTCCGGGTACAGGCCCCTTAACCTGCTTTTCAACACGTTATATTCCTTCAAAAATTCCTCTGAATGAACCGGCATGGGCTCGCCTCCCGTTTCCTTCACGTAACCGTTTACCCATTCCGCGAGATCTCTGACATAGGCGATCTCATGCCCAGGTGTTACCAAGGAATGGAAGAAACGTCCTCGCCCCTTTTCCTCCACACGCTTCTCATATTCTCTTCGCATGTCTTCTTGCGTCGGCAGTTTTGCCCTACCAGCGAACACCCTCGCCAACGCCTGGGCCTGGAAGTCGAAAAGTGAAAAGGTCGCGACGTGGTAGGGAACGCCAATGAACGCCAGCGTCGGGTCGTTGATGTAAAAGATATCCTTATGGAGGTTATGCGTCATAATGCCATCCGATGTCACAACCAGCTCGTCGTCAGGATCGGCATCAACAGCCGTGTCGGAGTGCAACTGCGGGAGAAAGGGGTAGGACACAATGTATCCAGTGGCTAATACTACTTGATGAATATCTTGTAGGATTGTTCCGTCTGTGAGAACAACAGACCCGGGTATCGGCTGATTATTCCCGAGTGTCGGCTCTTCCCCTTCAATCTTTGCCTCTAGAGGGACAAACTTCTCCACTGACGCTACTCGGACGGCGTTTGGAGGCAGTACACTCGCCGGAAGGTCAAACCGTCCGTTGCGAGTGCTCTGGTACGTTTTGTGAGACACCTCGCCGAGTTCTTTACAGACGTCTGTAGCGGACACGCCGGCTCCGATCACGAGCACGTTCTGGTTCCGGTACTTCTCAGGATTCCGGTACCTCTTGGAGTGAATAACTCTATCGGGAAAAGAGTCCTTCCACCCTTTTAAGCCTTCGATTTGCGGAATACGCGGCATATTGTAATGCCCCGAAGCGACGACAACCAGATCAAAATCCCTGACTTTCTCTGTGAACTGAGCGCTAGGGATCCCGTCTTCAATTTCCAGCGCTAGGGTAGTGATCCTCCATTTTGAACCGTCGCTTGTCTTTCTGACATCCTCAACTCGAGTGTTGAACTCCGTCACTGCATCCAATCCGGATCTTTTGGCTAGAGATCGGATGTATTGGAGAGCAGCGGAATGGCTGACCGATGCCGGACTCCCCTCGGGCCAATTCCCTAACGTAGTTCCCATCAGTGGTGTTGGGACATTGGTCTTTAGACCGACATAACATGGGCTCGGTGGCGCGAATCGTACTTCAAGATTCAAAAATTTCGCGTCCCCGCCGTCAAAAACGGCACCTGGGGGGATGTGCTGCTGATCTCCGATGGACGGTGGACGGTAAATATACGGGGGATCTTCCGGTGGGCGTTCGTCGAACTTCCATACACCGCCGGCGCCGTTGGACCGTTCAAAGACGGTCACGGAGAGTCCATATTTGAGAAGATGAGCAGCAGCACAGACTCCACTGATGCCTGAGCCTATCACCGCCACCGACTGGTGCTCCCCAAATCGAGATTCTGCATTTGATGTTGAACCGGATTGGAAGTCGGTATCCACGATGAGAGGCATAGCTTGGGGTATTTGACTTTCAAGATGGGTCGGTCCGTCGGTCTTTAGGGGTAGATGGGGAACAAAAGCATGAGGGAATCCCGCTGTTGCGGCGGACATGATATTGATGTTAAAGGCAAGACGATGTGATGGCCAACAGGGAGAATGACGCCAAGTCGTAGACTGCTTCATTGCATGAGGACATTAGGTATCTACGCGACAACCCCCGAAGTGTTTATTGTCATTATATCTTCTTAACATCATCGAGGTATCCTGCGGCCGAATGTGTTCCTCCGCGCCGTCAAGTCGTCTCATTCAGTAAGGATTGACAGAGCACGCCATCTTTGATCTGATTGCGTATCAGTAGGCGACAGATGGTTATCACAAATAAAAGCCGACATTGGTACATCTGACTAGTGACCCCCGCACAACGACAATCTTACACCATATCCCCTTGGATGACGAGATGCCATTTCAGCTGCACGTTAATTAACATTACAAACAGCCTCACTCGTTGACAAAAGGTCAACACCAAGACGACCAGAATTCTCGCGTACAGTCCAGTACTGGTTTGTTTGTTAGCTCAAAACCTCGGGTTAACTTTCTTATGCGTTTGAATATCCAACAAATATGTGATCTATCCTTGGAAACGGTGTTCAGTAGGCCACATCAAATTTTGTCAATGCCTTTATGATCCGTACTCAGCCATTTTGGCTTTTCCTTGTAAGCTTTGGGACTATTCGGGATAGATTTCATACAAACCAGCATCGGAATGTACCTCTACCTAACTACGCAAGGGAGGTATTCTGGAGCAACTACCTCTAGACGTCTTCAGTTCGTCTAGCACGCCCAATTTTTGAAGCTTAGAGGTACACGGCAACATCCCGTTATCAGCGCCTAACTATCATCGGTTCAAGTTCTTTAGTCTTGTTCATGCGTTACAGGAAACTTGAGGTGCCATCGGGATAGTAACATATTCATTTCTACCTGTATATACACACACACAAAGTCTCTTACTATCAGCCGCTTCAAGCATTTGGCTCTTCCGCAAGCAGCTTTCTTGCTCGTTCCCTGTGATGTAAAAACCTAACCAAGACCGCAGTAAGTATCATTGCCACGGCAATAAAAATAGAGGTCATATACCCCTTGTGGTACACCGGCGCCTCCACTTGCTGCCAAATCAGCAAGGGCAGCCACGCCTGAAAGACATAGGCCATCTCGTTCATGGTGCCCGTCACCAGCGCTCTTTCCTCGTTGTCGTCGCCGCAGATTTCATGCGCCCAAGCAAACGTCAGTCCACTGATACCGCCGCCGAAGCCCGCCAGAAAAAAGCAGGCCCATTTCCATCCGTCGGGAATGTTCCAGGCTGCTAGACTGGAGTAGATCACAATGTTCACCAGACCCGAAAAGACAATGGGTGGCCATCTAGCACCGCGGAACACAGTATCAGACGTCCAGGCGTAGATGAGCGTCGTGATCACAGTGATGGCGGCCGTGATTGTCGGATAAGTGTTCACTTCGGTGATAGGGTGTCCCTTCGACTTGAGCCACAGCTGGAAAGCTGGCTGGCCGGAGGCTCCGTTACCATTGTTGAAGAAGATGTAAAGTGCAGTGAGGAGGTAGATGTGCCAGCTGGAGAATATCTTTTTGAACTTGGCCTTGGTGTATGGCGCTCTAGGAGCACGACCTTCGAGACGCATACGCTCCTTGGCCAACGTAATCTCGTCCGCAGAGAAGTACCACGCTTTGGTGATCTCGGGCACGTCTGGCATGAGGAAGAAGCCTGAGATGGCGATGGGCAGGGAGATGACTGTGTCAATGATGAACAGCCACTGCCAGCCTTTGAATCCTCCGACGCCGGCTAGTTTCTTGTGGACTGCCGCCATAAGATACCCGGAGAACATGGTGCCAATGGCGCCACTGGCATGGAAGACGCAAGATCGCTTGGCCAGTTCGTCTTTGCGGTACCATGAGCCGATAATGTATTGCATGCCCGGGTAGAATACACTTTCGGCGAGACCGATGAAGAAACGCAAGACGTAGACTTGAGTTGTGGTCTTGCATTTGGCGAGCAAAATGGTCAGAATAGCCCATACAACTTCGCAAGCCGGGATCCAGATAGACGGCCGGATACGAGTCAACAAGATGTTGCTATGAGATGATTAGCATTGGGAGTAAGCGGAGAAAACGTCATCGGGGGAATCAATACTCACCTTGGAATCTCGCCAATGACATATCCAACCGTCCAGCAAGTCTGCATATAGTTCAACTCATTGCCAAACAGCTTCAAATCTTCCTTCATTCCGGACACGAAGGCATTTGTGATGTTGACTTGGTCAAGATACTTGATGAAGTATCCGAGGGAGGCCAGAGTCAGAATCACCGCGTCAAGCTTGAAGAGGAAGCGCCTTTCTTGGGGAGACTTGTCCAATGTATCCCAGACGTAAGAACGCCAACTTCTCTTGGGTTGTTCTTGCACCAGTTCTGTTGTTTGTGAGTCTGAGGTGTACTCGTGACGGGAGCTTTTGAGGGAACTAGATGGGGCCCGAAGATCGCCCTCGGTAACGACGCCAGGATCTGTGCTTTTCGACATGATGTTCAAACGACAATGCTGGTGTTGTCATAAAACCGACGAGTACGACTCCAAGGGACTTGATCGTTTGGGGTTCTTTTGTGTCCATATCGACAATAATGAGTGGCAGCCATCGCCATTGAGTCTAAGAAAGACGCCATGAGCTCCAATGTCGCCATGGCCGGTCCATCACATACTCTGCGTGGGGGTGAAGTCAAGTCTAGACACAAATTTGATTCCTGTATTGCTTGACCTACGAATATTTTTAATGGTCGACCCAACGATGCTGGGAGTGGTACAGGCCAATACAAGTTTGCTAGCTAGCTTGGTACTCTTCGTATACGAGATAATATCCGTCCCGAATTGTCCTAAACCTCACAAGGATAAATAGAGTGGCTGAGAACGGATCGAAAAGGCATTTACAAGCTTCCATATTAGGTTCTGAACTTCGGAAATACATATTCGAGGTAAAACACCCTTTCATAGGTATGAAGATAAACGAATGTCTTGAGCTAACAACCAAGCCTGTGTTGGGCTGTAATTGTTGGTGGTGCAATAGTTCAAGTGCAGCAAAGCACACAATCCACCCCAGCGGATGGCGCAAGATGACATAAAAAGAGGGCACCAACCATCTGGGCATAACAAACATCCCAAACGCTTCTTATCACCTATGCAGTAAATCCCCTGATTGGATATCAGTCCATGCCCTTTTGTTCGTTGCAACACACGGTAATGTCGCTTCCCCAACTGGTGTACCTGAGGCTTCAAAAAGACATCACTCTGGAGGTAACCCCTCACAGCAACCGCGGCCGTGGCTCCAATCCCGCAATTACACAGACAGATTTGACCATAGATAAGGACAAATGTCAGAATTGTAATCAAGTTGCTGTGCTTGATCATCATACGTCTAGCGGGGCGATACTCGTTCCGGTTCAACAACCACAATGGATGACTTCTGGAAGAAAAGTTACCTATACGGTGGCTAATGGAATGACTCTGGACTCTTGAACTTCTCGAGACATATAAACGTGCACTATATCCACAAAGCGAAGAGGGAAAAAGAACTGTACCTCAAAACAAAGTCGACACTTGACTTGCCAAGGCACTTACACTTACCATTTGTCACAATATATATCAAGATACAACATTTACCAACTATATTCACAACATGGCGCCCGCACCAATTCTTGATTCCATCGTTGACACGATTGAGCCCAGGAAGGAGACCCTCCCTCTTCCGGAACCAGCACGTCAACGTCTCCTCAAAGCTGGAATCGACCTGTCCAAGGGTTATCCATACCGCCCATCTGTGCCTCTTTACCTTCAAGACGTTTACAAGATTCGCGACGAGGAGCGACTTTACCAGGACGCAGGTGCTCGAGCTGACAAATCAAAGAAGAACCTCTTCTCAGCAGCAACCAAGGTGACCGACTTGACCACACACATCGGGACCGAGATCGAGGGTCTTCAGCTCAAGGACCTCACCCCCCAGCAGCGCGATGAGTTAGCCCTTCTTATTGCCGAGCGGAGCGTCGTCTTCTTCCGTAACCAGGACCTCACTCCCCAGCAACAAAAGGAGCTGGGTGAGTGGTTCGGCGAGGTCGAAGTTCATCCTCAGACTCCCCAAGTCCCTGGTGTCCCCGGCGTGACCGTTATTTGGCCAGACCTCTTCACCCTGGAGAGACCGGCCGACTTCCGTCGTCCTGGCGGTGCCTCAAACTGGCACAGCGATCTCGTTCATGAACGGCAACCGGCGGGTATCACCCACCTGCACAATGATACGGTACCTCCTACCGGCGGAGACACGCTTTGGGCGTCTGGTTACAGCGCTTATGAGAAGCTTTCGCCTGAATTTCGCAAGATCATCGATGGCAAGTATGCCGTGTACCGCTCTGCACACCCATATCTCGATCGGCAGGACCCCAATGCAGGACCCAAGTACATCGAGCGCACGCATCCGCTTGTGCGAGTTCATCCGGCCACTGGGTGGAAAGCATTGTGGGTGAATCGATCAATGACGGTGCGAATCGTGGGGCTCGATAAGGCTGAGAGCGATGTGATTCTGAATTACTTGTATGATGTCTACGAGAAGAACGTCGACATACAAGTGCGCTTCAAGTGGACACCGGGGACGAGTGCGTTGTGGGACAATAGGTCAGTAATTTCTTGATAGTGTTCATGAGGTATGGTAACTTACCACGAGTAAAACGTCCCAGAGTTACCATTCACAACGCCAGCTGGGACTATGGTGGCAGGCACCCCCGTCACGGAACCCGAGTGACGTCTTTGGCTGAGGTCCCTTACTACGATCCAAACGCCCCAACACGGCGCCAAGCGCTGGGGCTGCTGGATGATCAAGAAAGGAGTGACTTGGGAGTGACTGAGTAAGTAGGTTGGAGTCATCAGAGAGTACTTGGAAAGTCCATATTCAGAGCTCAATGTGAATGTGTTTCTCCCTGAAAAAGAGCAGACTTAGACCTCCCCTTTCAATCCTCTGGTAATTGAGTTGTGGTATTGGAATGTGAATGATGTACATTCTCTTCAACATAACAACCTAACCTCAACCAGGCTATCCATCCTCATTCGTGGCTTCCCTACCATGTCGGTGATCTTGAGCCTGCCATCGGCGCTCGCAAACAGCTCCTTCCACTGGTCGGTAGATCTTTCTTTAGCGTTGAACATCGATAGCATAGTCAAATCAAGTGCCCTGATCACTGCGTCCTGCGCCTTTGGCACCGAATTTGGCTCTGGCAAAACAATATCGCAGTTGACGATCCTACTTTCCGGCCCCATAGATTCGGCAATCGGTTTCAAGATTCGCTTGCAGTACAAGTCAGACCAATTGTGAAGAATGTTCCTCATGAAGTAAACGGCGGCTCCTCTGGCTGGCTCTGGTTGGGGGTCAAAGAAATTATGCGACACGAACTCGACTCTATCCTTGACTCCCTTACTCTCCATCAATTCCTCGGCCGCGCCTCTCAGATCTTCAAAGTCCTGCACCTGAAACCGCAAATGAGGATGTGCCTGCGCAATAGCAGCAGAGATATGTCCGATGCCACCGCCAACATCAACGACGAGCGCTCTGTTCGGTAGTGTCTCCCAGGGGTAGGCTCGCGCAATGCTTTCCGCCGAGTCGGCGGAGCTACCACCGGAAAAGGCGTCAACAAATTGTCCAAATTGGACCATGTTTTCCGGGTGTCTCTCTTTGTACCCGAAGAAGGCGTCTCCGAATGCCAGCGAGAAAGCTGTGTCCTGTGGCTCAGGGGAGTCGGGGTACCGCTTGACCATGTCGACGAGCTTGGATACGGCAGGGAGCATCTCGGCATGGCGAAACCAGATGCAGGCGCGCATCTTCTCGTCAGTAGCGAGTGGCTTGGACCAGGCTGAATGGGCGACCAGACCTGGTTCAGGTTCGGTGAAGTAGAAGTTTGCTATGGCCATACGCAGAAAGCGTGGAAGAAGAGCTTCGCTTAAGCCGGTCTTGGAGGCAAGGTGATGGAAAGTGATGGTTCCTTGGAGCGGGACGTTCTGTGGAATCTCGAAATGACACAGGACTTGCATTGCGCCGAGGAGATAGATCTCGTTGAACAGAAGTGCTTTGTAGTTTCAACTGGCCCGACGGCGAGGGCGTGGAGGGATCTAGTGGCTTCAATGAGAGCAGTGCGTGCCCGTGAGACTTCTTCATTGTCATCGCAAATTGGCTGCCGGGGGCCATCGGCGGAAAAAGATGGCCATGGTAGTCGCCTGGATTCGATGTGCGAAGATAGGAGAGTCGCACTGGACGAGATCTCATCTGCGAGCGCGGTGAGAAGTGAAGCAGAGGTGTCGGCCGGGATGTCAGACGTTGCGACCATTGTATTGAGATTCTACTAATGGAGAGTTGAAAGTTATCTGATGAACGTGCTGGAGATGTCTAGGTATTAACATGCTGGCTTCTTGAGAATGGAATTAGTACGCGTGTACAGAGAGTGACGAGAACAAGATCGTGTGACTTGTACAGCAGTTGGAAGAACAGTAACCTGCAAGCAAATGTATGGCTTAGTTGTGATGTACTTGGTGGAAGAGGATGGCCTGGCAATGGCAGCCTATTTGTTGACATGTTCACATGGTGCGTTGGCTTGAGATGGAGGGAGTCGGTTGGTGACGCTGCCTAGGTAGGTAGGTACCTAACCATACAGCAGCAATGTGCCTCCCGAGTAAATGCAGCCCGCTCTAGCAGGTCATTTTGCACGCGTGCATTTACTGGGTCCTTGCATTTAACAGTTAGTCTTCTTCTTATACCAAAAAAACACAGATACACAAATCTCTGGCAATAAATGGTTCGCTACATTTACACTAATAGGGACTAGCATTTACAGGGCGCATTGCTGTACACGTGCCCGTACTATATTACGTACCTATCTAGAGGTAGATTACAATGGATAGCGGGGGCTCGTGAGTCCCGCGGGCTGTAGGGCTGTTAGCGCCTTCTCCAGGTTTCGGGTGGGCCTTTGCCCCTGGGTATGTACACTACACTAGGAGACTAGAGGTACCTAGCTGGACGGGCATCTAGCATCTTCCCCGCCGTCGGGCGCAGCCTTTTCACAATTGCTTGATTTCACTTCTTGACGCTTTTCTTCCTTGCCGTCCCTCTGCTTTAGTTTTTGACATGGCGGCCCGACCTCGAGAGTTGCGACATCTACCAAGCGCACTTCACCAATGGCAGGATCCTGCCCCACCGAGGCTTGGCCTCTACTTTGGCTTGATTCCAGTGTCTCAATCTGATACAAGACAATATGGTAATTATGTGGCGGTGAGATGAGAGGAAGAAATTAGTTGTCTCAGCTCCTACGCGTCTATACTGTAAGTCCAAGGGCCATGCATTGCGAGATTGTCGAAACATTTAGGACCGTCACTAATGTTCTGTCCTCTCATCGGCAGTTCCGAGACAGCAGCGAGCTCGGTGTACGTATGTATGCTATTACATGCCGACCACCACGCGTCGTGTCCGTAATCACTAACTCCACGAGTAACATTACACTAACACAATCGTACATCTCGTGGTACAGAATGACGTTTTATTACAACTAATCTACACGACCCATCCGTTGCTCAATCAGCGTTCTTCCCCTATAGGGCGATATTCGGGAATCCACACTCAGGCATACTGCCAGGCACCAACAGTACCGGACGGGAGAGGGTTGATCTTGAGGTTGACAGGAGTGCAGGCGGTCAAGCTAGCCGCGTTCGTCTCGTTTCTTCCCACCAGGTTCCACGCGGTGCCGCCACCGCCAGAGGCCTGAGGAGGGCAAGCTACCCAGCCCCAGCCATTACCGTTCAGATTGACGAAGCCACCACCCTCGTACGCACCGAAGCCCTGGGTTAGGCTGCCCGCAGGAATGTAGGCCGAGTGAGCTTGGGTGTAGTGCATGTTCCAGTCCGGTCCAAGATAGGCTTGCTGTCCGCCGGGAACCATGGTGTCCATGGAGAGGCCACCGTTGCCGGCGAAAAAAGCCGTGATGTTGCCAGGAGGACACGCGGCACCAACCACCTCGACGGGGCAGTAGGTGCTAGTGTTGCCTGCAAGGCTCAAGTGCAGACCGCTGGCAGTCACGGGCTTGCCGTCGATGGGCAAAGTCGGGTTCGACACGCTGAGGGTGAAGGGTGTCCCAGTGTGAGCGGGCAGCAAGCTCAGGACGTTGTTCTCGCACTTGTACATGAACTTGCTATAGCACGCTCCGTTGCAGAAGGAGAGCGGCTCGCCAGCCGTGATGGGGCAGAGGAACTGATCGCTCCAGCAGACGTACTATCACCTACGTGTTAGTCATATGGCTTCCTCCGGCAGCACCCGTGTCTCGACATCCCAGACATACCTGAGCAGGATCGTACTGTGACTGTCCACAGCTACTCAAGGCGTTTACGGCGCTGTCGCCGAAAGCAAGAAGAGCCGCGCTGAGGAGAGTGAGTTTCATCATGGGTAAGATCGATGAGTGAGATTCTGATGATGATTTCGGTTATACCACCATCGGACACAAAGCAGAGGGCAGCGACCCGACATTTATATCACTAGGCGGTTCACCTGTCTTGCTGGTGTCACTACAGGATCATCAAGATCCTCATCTAGCACCTCAGCCGAGGGCCCATCTTCGCAGCAGCGTACCCAATGGGTAAAGTCTTTTGGTGGAATGTCTCGTATCGTATTCCGTGGCACCGCTTGGCTGATAGACTAACGTTGGTAGCAGCGATCTCAGGTAACCTTTCCGAGGCCTTGGTCAGCCTCTTTTCTCCATAACCAAGCGCATGATTGGACCACCCAGCACATGTTTCTCCGCGCTGACATCGATCAGCATCGGCCCATGTGGTTAATGTCGTGGTTGTGCAGTTCTCCATCCCGAACAGGCCGATTCTGCACGATTCCACTGGAGGCCCCTGCAGGGTCAACCATCCCAGCTTATCCGATCATCAGTGACCCCAATAAATGGGAAATCCGGTTATGGTCGCCAGTGGCGACAGATACAGTCTGTTAGTGCGGTTCTTGCAACGGAGGTCTGCAAAGTTCACAGAAAAACGGCTGGATAACACCAGTAACAACTAAAAGTTGAATAAAGTAGGTATATACGCGTCCAAGAGTATCTAGTTAATACGAGCTCCTTCTATTGAATTTGGTGGAATGGAGGTTGAGTTACGTAGAGTGCGTGTTGAAAACCCGCGCTGACTAACGCCCGGCACCAGGGGTCAACTGTACAGTGCCGCCGTTATGCAAGCCGGCCGCCATTGATGGAACCTGAGTAATCCAAGCACCAATCTTTACACCACAGTACCTCACTACACTAGTCGAGTCCTCGTATTCACCAGAGTCATGTGGTCGGCTGAAGCGCTAGTGTGGTGTAGAGAGCATGGGAATAGCCTGGGGGATGATCAAGCTTCATGATAAGGCCGAATTTCCCTCAGCTTTTCAATCCGGCACCGCACTTCCGTACGCCTAGACAATTATTTCTACGTATTGTCGTCATGGATAGGCAATCGTCGGAGTTACCCATTCTTCACATTTCACGCTGGTAGACAGAAACCATCAGCCCATTGTAACGTTGATACTGTCATATAGAATGAGGTCAAGAAGTCATGACTCGCACTACGTCAGAAAGCATACCTCAGCTTGGAGGTGGGGACGTAACAAGCTTCCTCTCCGTGAAGGCCCTAACCCCGGCCATGCCATCGAACAGACCATAGCCACTGCTTCCACCAGTCCCTTTTGGGGCAGAGTTGCCTCGACATACACGGCAGGCCCGTTGATCTGACAAGCACACCTGCCCGAACTGCCTCACAATATCCAATGCTCTGATAAATTCCCTCAAGCAAACGCTTGCACAAAGCAAAAACTCACTATCGTGGGTCAGCGCAACTGCTTCCTCATCGAGTTCGAATCCGAAGAGGATCATGACGAAAACCAAACGACTCCGATTCCTTCTTCATGGGGCCTCAGAATGATCTTGTTGGGACCCGTGATTTTAAGGTCACCCGCAAGCAGCTTCGTGCCGCCGCCATGAACCGCTGACTTGACCAGGTCAATGACACGTCTTGCTGGTGCCGGCTTTAAAGGCTGAACTCAAATGGCTTCAACAGGATTGTGTTCCCGCAAATGACAGAACGGGCCACCGCTTTTGCTGTGGAAATCACCCATTGATACTTATCAGCGCTTGAAAAATATAACAAGCTCGGGGCAAGCTCCGCATTATTTAGGTACTGGGGCGTTCCAAGGAGCTATTCCAAACACGACACCGACCAGCCGTCTCTCATGAACGCCGTCGTCCAAGGCCGATCCGTCTGGATGATTTCGTCTCGTATCTGAGCGGCCTGAGCGGCAATTTCCCTCAGTGTCCCGGCGATGGAGTGAATGTTAATCTTAACCCGTCAACCTGGCGCCGAGGTCTACTGGGACATTATCTCACTGCTATACTAGTAGTGTAAGTACAACTCGAGTATGTCGGCAGTCTCCAGAAGACCGTCGTTTAGCGGTAGGACCTGTCTTCGACCGTGACCGGTATGCCTCGTAGGCAGTTTTGATGGCAAGACTGTAGTCATCGACAGAGGCTGATGCGCAAATGTATATGTGCTGACCCGTCATCGGGTTGTTGACAGGGAAGGTGGCACCGTCCGCGCTCGGTTGGGACAGTCCATTGATGTACTATGTATAGCAGCTGTAGTTGTTCCATGAAGTGGACAGGCCAGGGCTAGGTATGTTCATGAGTCTCGGTCGTCTGTAAATTTGACTCACGTTGCTTGCTCTTTTAACAACTCAGTCAGTAACTGTCTAATCGAGTTGTCTTTAACTTGCAAACACGACGAATCCAGCTGGGAAATCCTGTACCACGACAAGGGTAAAGCGCTTAAGGCTTGAGTGTCGAACAGGGCCAAATGCTTCATATAAGTATCTGCCTGCAAGAAGAGCTCCCAGCGTAGCACTTGTGACGCCGTCTAAATAACTTCTTCGGCTTTAAAAGTATTGCCCCCCACAAACTTTTCGAGGTCAGTACGTACATCCATGAGAACTTACGCAGAAAGACAAGGTCATGAGCTGGGAGCGATAAGCTTCCCAATGATGCCGAACTCAGAACAGGTAGCACGCTGTTCTACACAGCGTATATCAATACAATGTGAGACCAGCTGACCAGGGACAGTGGTAGGTAAGATCTCAGCTACCTGACTGACGACCTTGAACGGAGAGCTACACATCTACACCTGCTTCTTTCCTCGACGCCTCTTCCGCGCCCTTTTCAACTGCCCGATACGGAGCTGTTGCACCCACGATCCTGCAATAATCGTGGATGGCCTGTGCCAGTAGTAGGAGCCCAGTGGCCAACACCACAGGGACCGCAATTTTCCAGCTACAGTTTCGAGATTAGTAGAGAAGTGACTAACAGAGGCATGTAGGGTTACTCACAAGTAGTCAATCGAGTGATTTGGCCCGGGAAAGTGTTGAAAGTTTTGACCAAAGTAGCCGGTAAGGAACGTCAGGGGAAGGAAGATGATGGTGACTATCGTAAGTTGCTTCATCGACTCATTTTGGTTTGCCGATATCGTGTTGAAGATGAGATCAATCATGCCCTCAGCCGAGCCCTTCAGCTGGGTCAATGTATCAGTGATCAAGAGGCAGTGATCAAGAACATCTCCAAGATAGATGTAAGTTGTCGGTGTGATGATGACGCCATGACTCGGGTCTTGAATATTTCTGGTTGCTGCTTCTTGTGACATATTCGTTTTGTGGTCGCGAAGCGCGTTTATGAGAGTAATCACTGGGTTTATAAAGCTCAGCATCTTGTTCATCTCAGTGACGAGAATGTAAAGGCTCTTGGTGTGCTTGATATTGGGCTTGGTAAGCACGTCGAGCTCGAGATCGCCAATAACTTCAGTATAGCACGTGGTCACTGGCATCGCTAGGTCGATGATGGCGTCAATGATAGCCTGGCCAACCATTGAAGCGTCGCAAGACTGCCGGATGATGGTATCCTTGGTTTGGAGACGGCGGATGATGGGAGCCTCGACGTCTTGAGCCGAACACTCGAAGAAGCTGATAATAGTGTTATCTTGAGTAACGAACATAGCTACCTGTTCGCAGGCAACGGCAAGATCCCTAGACATTAAGGCTGAGTGTTGTTCCATGTAATGAGTGCGTGGCTCATCCCATCTCGAGTGGTATGTCTGTAGTGTCCGAAGCCCGTGAAGATTTAGATTGCGGAGGGAGCTTGGTGAGGAGCCGGTCTGGCCGCGAGGACTAGCTGGTAGATTGGGATTCCCTCTCCCGAGCTTCCGGTCCAGGGAAACATTTCTTGCGCGGGTGTAATATTCTTTCAGGCGGCTATGAAGGTTAGGACCGCCATCGCCACCCAACCCACCATTTCTCCCACTGTTGTTCGCTTTATCGCAATCAACGTATTTTGATTCGCTTTCTTGGGCATCTAAGTTCTGTATGCGAACAAGTTTCTGGAGAGTCAAGACAATGAAAACATGAGTTGGGAACCTAAGTTCTTCGTCAGATCCTGACCGAGTTGATGAAGGGTCCGCACGCATATACGCACCATTCAGCTTTGGTTCTGTTTCGCGTGTTCAAAAGATCTTCGATAGCAAGTCGATGCAGGTTCTTGTGCCGACCCAGTAGCTGGATGACATCCCAGCTCAGACCATTGACGCTGATCCAGCGGCATTTGACCCATTCCGGCTGGGGCAGGCTTATAAATGAAGCGAGCGTTTCGTTATTGTGCCTATATGTCGCAAGGCGACCGTGTGAGAAGTCGACCACGGTAATATCACATGGTACACTAAGAGTAGGCATCGAGGCATGTCCTCCATCAGCCTTCCTCGGATCCAGCCCTGGTTCTGCGCCAGCTACAAAGAATCATAATTAGCATGCGACTTGGGAAGCCGGGTGTAGGATATCAGCGTACGGTGCCAGCCAGGCCCACCAACATCAAAATCCTGGAAGTCGTCAACGGTCTTGAAAATACCAGAGCGAACAGTCGAACGACGGAGGACGTTGGGAAGATCCGCGGTAGATACGGTGGACGGAATGTCCATGCGGACCGGGTTAGTGCCCATTGGGTTGTCAAATGGATAGTATACGTGAGGCCTCGACCATCGGTCGTCACTTAATCTACCACCCTCCCCATCTCCAACCGCTCCTTCCAGGGTCATGGACGGTGCTGGCCGTGCTCCCAGTGCAGCGAAGTCACGGGCGTTGTGATATTTTCCCACATTCGGGATTGCCTCGTCGTTTTCAGCAACAAAATCGCGACTGTGACTGCGACCGTGACCGGCGTAGTTTTGCACCCCGAGGTTATCAACATGACTGGGCGACCTGGATCCCATTGTGCTCCGATAATTTTCAAGAGACAAATCCTCCTATCGCGTTTTTGACCGGAACGATATCGGGTTCAGGGTAGCTGACATGCCGCTGATGGAGAGTAACCCACGGCTCGCGAGGAGGGGATGCAAGGAGAGACAAATAAACAGGGGAGTAACTTGGGGAAGAAGATGATACTTGTAATAGAGAGCTCGAGTTCCTTGCATAGGCGAGACCTATTGAACCCAACGATGCAGTGATCTACTTGATATCCTTTTTTTATCGTGTCTCGAACCAAGGTTTGTTACTCGTAGTTGTATAGGTCTAGTTGTTGCATTGGATCCTAGGAAGTGGCAGATCATCCAACGTCGCGTGGGTTTTTCTTGGCAGTTAGCTCACGAACAAACAATCCAAGCCTTGGAAGCGAAGGGCATAGTCAATAAATATTATACAAATCATAAATATCAGAGCAACCGGTATACACAGCGAGACGAAAAGGACAGGTGGAAGATGTACTAAAAATGCTATAAGGAGAAGGAACAAAAAGACCAAATAGGAAAAGATTATGGGGCCACCCGGGGATTGAACCCGGGACCTCTCGCAAGAATGCTCAGGATTGAACCCTAAGCGAGAATCATACCACTAGACCAGCGGCCCTGATTGGTTATTGAGATTGTGCTTTGTAGAAAACCCCTATACTCCAATGAAGTAATTCTCTCCTCGTCGGGGCAGCTGTAATCGCACCTTATTCCACTCCACAAACTTCCATCCATATACTCATCTCAATATTTACAGGTCTAAACTAGGCATTATTTCTTGTTCCTAAGCTTTGCTATGGGCGGTGGACTAGGTTGTCCCTAGACACACTACTATTTGTTGCAATTTTGCCCAATTATACTCGAAGCTTTCATCACTTCACAGCCTGTGACCAAGTTCACTCCAGTCATCTACAACTGAAGACCAAGGTAATGCAGCTAACGCAGTGTCGGTCAACAGAGTCCAGTAGCAGGCAATAAGCAAAGACCGGGGCGCGTGCAAAAAGATACACAAATCGAATCATCGAAGCCGTGGCCGATTTGAATATAAAAAACCCGCCATAAGTACGCGAACATCGATCGGGTAGATTAGGTACTCTCCAGCTGAGAATTCACGTCTCTAACACAACTACCTCTACGCATCTTCTCCCATGCCTCGAGTCTGGACTTTCGCTCATGGAACATCTTTCAACACTTTCATTCTTATTCTCCCCTACTCCGGCTTTTGACCGTACACCACCTTCCACCTTACATATCCGTGTATGCTCATATCTTTCAATTCTCTGCGCGCATAAGCAGCAAATACCGCGATCTGCTCCTGTGTCCATCCCAATACATTTGCGAACATGTACTGCATGACACCTTCAACATCAGACAAGATCGCCGCGTAGTAATAGAGACCAATTTCCTTTTGCTTCGGGTCCTTTGGCCAGGGCGAGGTAGGCATCTATAACACCCAAATTAGCGTTCAACTTCCGCGTGCCAGTGCAACTGCTATTAGGCACAGTGCTAAGGGGCTTATTTTACCGACAAGCCTGTTGGGCCCCGCAGTCATGGATGGGGATCAAATATGACCATACCTTGAAATTCTTTACTTCGACGTTTATAAAGCCGGCATCCCTCATCGCCTTCTCCATCAGGCCATTGTCAGCCATCGCCATGATCTTCCCGATTTTCTTGCCCGCCGCATCGAACAATTTACCCCACTGGCCCCATGCAGACTCGGGGAGAACACTGCCATCGTCAGACTTGATCATTGTCGAAAGATCAGAATGCTCGAGCCAGCCGCCAGGCTTGCAGCACCGGTACGCCTTTTTGTAGACTTCTGTCAAATCTCCAAAAGCCCCGTTCAAAAACTGCATATGGATGAAATCGAAATGGTTTTCCCTGAAAGTCCACTCTTTGGTAGCGTCATTGATTTCGAACTGGAGATTGGGGGGAACCCAGCTAGGCTGGACAGGCGAAATGTCGGTACCGATTACATTGCAGTTGTTGTATTTGTCCGCAAAGTCGATAGCCCATATTCCTGAGCCTGTGCCGATATCAACTACATTCCTAAGGTTGCTCTCTACGAGCGGTGCCTGATGTAGTTTGCCACCAAGCATGAGATCGCAGGCGTGGTAGATAATATCGAGGGCTTCGATGTGTTTGGAATCGTTAGGACCCCAGTATTCCCCGTCGGTTACGGAGTCGCTGTGGTAAGTCCGGCCATTGATAGTACGGTAGTTCAGGATGCTTGAAGAAATCGAAGCAGTTGAACTGTCGATATCGCTTCCCAAGGCTGAGTCTGTATCCTCATTTTTGCCGGGCCTCGGAAGGCCTTGCTGAAGCCAATGTTCGCCAGAAAGGACACCAGTCGGTTCGGTTGCCGAAGCTTCGGCGGCAGATGTCGGCAACTTTGCCCTTCCAGCAGAAGATGCTGCCCTAGGAGATGCGAGGCCAGGGGTTGATATCTTCGCTTTAGTTACGCTTGGAGTTTCAAGTGCCGGCGACTGGGGCTTCCTCTCCACGGGAGTACTCATGGCTGGAAGCTATTATCTCCCAAGTCCAGTGGTTGTAGGTACGTGTTAGATCGAACAAGAGGAAAAAAGATACCTGGAATGTCAGGCAAGGACGCGAGGACGTGGTTGCTTGAAAACTAACTCTTACGCGGCCGGGAATGCTCAAACGAAACAGAGTCCCGTCCCAACCACGCCAACCAGGTGCTTCGGTGCCCTTAAGCCTATCTAGGAATCGGTTACGCTAATGTTACTAAGGGCGTGTTCGAGTCGCCCGGAAATGAGTCCGGAAATAGGCTTTCAGAAGAGCTTCTTACGTGGAATGGTATAACCCATTTGGAACGGAATTTTGGCGGTAAATTCCAACGTTTAACAAGAGTTTACTTGCCCGCACCCCCCAAAAACTTACACGCACCCACCCCCACCCAGAAAAATGGGACGGTTCAACTAATGATACCTAACATTGAAAACCCTGTTTTTACCCGCAAATTTTCGTCTTTTCAATGCACGTAACATCGCTGTACTGTGGTCATTTCTTTTCCCCTTTTTTTACACGGCCAGTTGCACGCAGTCACACCAGCACTTTACACGCAGTCGCGCCAGCACTCTATACTGACACTCCACAACAACCAGCTCTTTACATTACTGTAGTAATTACAAATTACCTCTTAACGTACGTAAAGTAGTTAGATTTAATTAATTTCTTAATTAATCGATAGTACTAAATGCTTTTTCACTTTAACTACCATACCCTTAAAGCGCGCTCGTCGCAACTTAACTTTTACTTTCAATTCTAACGCCTCCTTCAACCCTAATACTATATAAACTATATTAGTAAATAACCCTTTCTTTCAGTCGAGCCTGTTGATAATTATAATAGATTGTTCGCCTACTTTATCAACGTTTATTATTGCTATTACTTAAGTATCTTGACCTAGTATAATCATACGCTTAAAAACTGGAATATAAAGACAATAATTCCATTATTAAGGTTATACTCTATTATAATTACGTAAAGTATTGCCCTTAGCTGGTTGATAATGAGAATTTAAAGAAGTAATTTATATTGCGAAAGAAAGCGCGCTACTATCCCTTTAAAATTGTATTTTAAATTAAAAAAAAGTATAAGGTAAATATAGTTACACAGGCTATAAATCGTAAGGGGACAGCAGAGCAATACGCGGGTGCTAGCCATTGTGTATATATTAAGGTTCTACGAAGAAAGAAACAAGAAAACGCTACCCTCTAGGTAGCTGGAGTGCTAGAATTTAAATGGCCGTGCGTTCCGGTATCTTATAGCCTGAGGCTGCTAGAGAATACTTTAAAAGATTGGAGCGCTACTAGGCCGCAGTCCGAATCGATTAGAGCAATTTTAATACGGACTACCGTCTTAGTATTTAAATTTAGCTAATTAGAGTTAAATACCCTATTGGGTACTAATTTTATAATATTAGCTCCCTCCTTCTCCCTCCAACTATAAATAGCGCGCTACAATCAATATTTATAAGTAACCCTCCCCGCACCCTACGCTTTCCTACTAGCACCCTCTCAACCCAAATGTCAGCTGTTATGTAAAATATAGAGTTTTGGTTGTAAATTTCTATATTTTTGATATCTAGTAACATCTATAGCTGGGTCGAGATTTATCTGTATATACGTCCCTATAACTCAAATTTCGTGATATTTCTATAGTATTAGATATTAATCTATTTCTACCTTATTTACAATCTAAATATTGACATCTGACAGCTCAGAAAGCTCGTTAGATAAGCTAGTTGAAGATATCTCAACGGCTTCCTCCTTTTTCGTTTTATCCCGCCGCTGTACCTCCCGTACTTTTTCTACCTAGTATCAAGTTAGTTTATTATCCTTATCCTTATTTTTATCCTTATTATTATTAATTGCTTTAATATAATTACGTACCTCGTTTTTGAAGCGTGCTTCAACTATGCAGAGGAGGTGGATGACTTTCACAGTCTGGAGGTTAGGGACCCACATCTACCGGAGCGGCCTATTAAAGAACGGTTCGTCTACAGTCAGGTCTTCGTACAATAGTTTCCTATACTCTCATTGGCTCAATGCGTGGCACGGCCCTATAACTGGTCAGGGCGTTTTGACCCGCTACGTTCTTATTGGTCAACTCGTGGATAGTATCGATGACAGTCCGCGCTAGAATACACTGGGTCCTTCCGTTTCTAAAATCCTTTACCAAATCTTTCGATATCGCTTATCGATAAGGTTAAAAATCGTTATCCTTTTTACTATTACTAAAGCAATGAAGTAATGAAGTAATGAAGTAATGAAGTAATGAAGCAATGAAGAAATGAAGAAATGAAGAAATGAAGAAAAGAAATGAAGAAATGAAGAAATGAAGAAATGAAGAAATGAAGAAATGAAGAAATGAAGAAATGAAGAAATGAAGAAATGAAGAAATGAAGAAATGAAGAAATGAAGAAATGAAGAAATGAAGAAATAAAGAAATGAAGAAATGAAGAAATAAAGTAATAAAGTAATAAAGTAATGAAGTAATAAAGTAATGAAGAGCGATTGGGTGAGGACGGCTGTAGCCGTCCGAACGAGGAATGCAATAGCAAGAGATGCAAAAATCCACGCTTCAGTAATACAGCGGGCGTTGCTTGAACTAGGGATCCAGCATCGCATCGGTGTCTAAAAACTATTTTAAGCATTTAACTGTTTGATATTGGGCCTTACTTCGTACCGGGAATAATTACACTACGTTAAAGCTTATTATTAGGCGGCCAAGAGGCGACTACTGAAGAAGGGATTTTACAAGCCTACAGCGCCGAGGCCCTACTTCGCCTTACAAAGCTTCTACCTAATAGGATTATAGTGACTAGTACCCTCCTCTTCCTAACAAAGCGCCGAACTAATAATAATAGGGTACGCTACGAGCTAGGTATATAAAAGGGATAAGTTAACGCCGCGCTAAAGCCGCATACTAATATTAAATTCTATAATACTCAATCGTAAGGAAGTGTCATGGCCCAGTCCCGCTGACCCATGCCCACTGCCCAGTCGCATAGCTGCATTACACGGTCGCTCGGATGCGAGTAATTTAATCAGTTGTAGATTAGATAAGGAAGAGTGGTCCGGGCGCTCGAAGGTCTAGAAGCATATCTTCCAGCCCAACAGCCCGCACAACTCTTACCTTTTGTTTTACTCTTTAGTTATAAATTCTATATTGAACGTTAATAATGCTGTAGCCCTACTTCGCCCGTTACGTGCCTTTATACTATTTACAATTTATTTTTCCATTAGGGATGGTATTAAATATTCTACCCGAAGAAGAAAGGTTATGGCGTAGCGACGTAGCAATTAAAATAAACGATTGGGGTAAGCTAAAAATTCGATGCGTAGCGTATTGTAATTGTCCTCTTCCTTTTTTAAAAAAAAAAGAAGTTCCGAAGAGGAGATTAAACCGATTAATAATTAGGTTAACAATTATTAGAATAGTTAGCTACGATGGTTCGTGATAATACGGAAGCTGTGTAATAGCGCTATATTTATTTCGACCCTAATATTTTAAGAAAGTACGCTCCTAAGGCGGGTAAATTCCCTCCTTTAAAGGTTAGACGTAAATCCTTCGATCCTAACGATTTTGTCGGCCCCGATTTTTAGGGCGTTACTTCTTATATTATTAGTTAAAATAATAATAATAATAATAAAGAGTTTGATTTATTAAACCTCTCCTCCAAGGAATTCTATAAATACTATTACAAATATATTTAACTTATTATTTATTACGTATACTATTTTCTTAATAAGGAAGTGCCTACTTACAATTTAAAGGAATACTTCTATAATTTATTTAAATATATATATTATAACAGAGACGCCTTTATATCATTTACCTTTATAACCTCTAAAGGTAAAAGTAACGCTAAAATTGAATTGTTTAATAGGCCGATAATTTATAATTAATTTATTACCTTAATTTAAATATCTCTAGAAGTTATATTTTTAAAAATATATATCTATACCGCTTCCCTTATAGGAACTATTAAATAATTTAACGATTTTACTAATATATTTAATTGTGCTGATAAGGACCTCTATATCCTCGAAAATTAGATTAACTACTTCGGCTCTATTACGGCGATTCTATTTTAAAAAATCGCTAATAGAAATCCTAACCCCCCAATTTCTAATACGAATTTCCATACTTCCAATACTAGCTTTTAATAAATTTTTACGGAGAATTAACAATTTGAAAAAGAAAATAAGTATTTATTAACTTTTTTAAAGACGGTTTTAAATGCTATAAGTAAAATTATTAGAAGCGGAGACCTAGATAATTCTAATAGAGATTCTAATAAATCTATAGCCTTTAAAGGTTTAAAGAATAGCGGTCCGCTTAACCCCTATAATTATTATTCCTATTTTAGTATATTTACTATTATAGCCGCCTCTATTATCTATTTAGCCGATAGAAAGTGTTCTATTAAGGAGGAGAGTATTGGAAAATTCTATAATGATAATAAAAAGGATAAAGTAACTTTTAATATTTGGTACTATTAGATTAAAATTAAGTTTAAAATTAATACCGATTATTTTAATACCGACCGCCAAAAATTTAATTATATTACTAACTATTTAGTAAATAAAGCTGCCTAAGCCCTACTCCTTTATTTAAATATTAACTACCCTAACCGGTTAATTACTTCGGATAATTTACTAAAATATTTATAGGAAGAGTATTATAACTATAATACTTATAAAAAAGCCTTTATAGAATTTAATAATTTGGAAATAAAGTACGGTAAATATTTCTAAACTTTTAAAAATACTTTCTAACATTTAATTAATTAATACCGCTGCTCCTATAATTAGTAGAAGAATAATTTTCGTTATAAAATTACTAAAGAGCTTTATTAAGTGGCTAAATCTACTTATTTAGATTCTTCTAAATAATTTAATAATTATATCCTCCTCCTTAATTTATTTAATGAGGGTAATTGAATAGATATTTGGAAGAATTATTAATATAATAGAAAATAAAGCTTTCGCTATAATAAAAATTCGAAGGAGATTAGTACTATTACTTCTAAGGTTGTAATAAAGATTCCGGTATTCGAACGTCCTACTCCTAAGGAAATAAGAGAATTTATTCGTAAAGGCCGTTGTTTTAATTGCTATAAGAAAGGTTATATAAGTAGCGAATATTCCTATAAGGAAAAGTTCGTTAAGTGTTTCGATGCTTATTTGAATTCTATTACTAATATTATTTAGGGTAAAGATTCCTTTAACGTTAAGGATTTGTTCGATACTCCGTCTTCTAATAATGAATCGATACCTTCTAATAATGAGGATGCTGTTTCGGACTCCGTTAGGGGAAATTAAATATTTTAAGTTAAATTTCCCCCTAAGATAAAGTATCTACTATAAACGTCCTTAATATATAGTATTTAGATTTCGATTTCCATAATTATTTAGGAGGAAAGTCTTTCTTTCTTATAATATATAGTATAGTACTTAATAGAATTACTATTACAATTTCTAATATTTTCGTCGATACTAGAGCTAATGCTAATATTATTATAAATTTATCTTTCGTTTGTAAATTATAGAAACTATTAAAATTGCCCCTATATAGTAACTTCAATCCAGGATACGTTACTCCTTACAAAAAAGCCTAGCCCGATTCGGTTAATATTGTATTGAAGGGATATATTAAAATTTAGAATTTTAAGGTTAAGGATTAGTAGATTATTATCCTCCCTAACCTAAAATGCGATATAATTATCGGAAATATATAGTTAGCTAAGAATAATATTCTTATTAACCTATTATATTCTAGACTACTATTTCCCTTCGATTAGAAGTTGGACTAGTTCTGAGATTTTAAAATTAATAAGAATTCTATTTTGATAAAGTATCCCGATTTCTAGAAGGATACTAACATTCGAGAAATTTTATTGAAAAAGGAAGATAAATAATATTGAGACGGACGTGATAATTATAAAGTAATACTAAAAAAGATTAATAAATTAGGAAGGGAACGTTAGTTAGAATAGACGATTCTTAATTCTAACCTTCCTTAGTAATCCCTTTCTATCGTTTAGAAACAATTAAATTAATTTATATTGCCCGATATGATAAAACAATATTTTAATCGAATAGATTACTAATTATTTAAATAGGATAATAGTTTCTCCTTTAAATTTAAAGAATTCGTACCGTCCCTACTTTGAAAAGTAAAGTTAATGTTAATTTCAAATTTATATCTATTATATAATATATATAGTCGATATTGATTAAAGTGTAATTAGGAATAGATTAAAAAACGACCGGTAGACTTTGCGTTTATTAATGCCGAATTATTCTATAAAATAGCGAAGGAAATGCACTTCGGCGTTATTAGTCTATATAAGTTAGAATATTTTATTAAAAATAAGAAAGATATTTATAGTAGTCCTTTAGAAATAAACGAAATAGAACTTCGTTAAAAGATTTTTAAAGAAGTCCTTAGTTAATACTACGACTTTTTGGAAATTTTTAGTAAGGTTAAATTAAACGTTCTCTCCGACTTCCGCCCCAATATTAATTACTATATTTTTTTAAATAAAAGCGCCCGACCGGAAGACTTCTAATATAATCCCCTTTATAAAATATCCTTTAAAGAATTAGAGGCTTACTAAAATTATATTATAGAAAACTTAAATAAAGGGTTTATTAAACCTAATACTACCCTATAGGCCGCCCCGGTTCTCTTCGTACCTAAAGTTAATAGAGGTTTAAAATTTTATGTAAATTATTGTAAATTTAATACACTCTCCCGAAAGGACTAATACCCCCTACCCTTTATTAATGAAATTATTACCTGTTTCGCTAAAATTAGAATTTTTATTAAGATTAATATTCGTTAGGCGTTTTATTATATTTGTATATTCCCTAATGATGAAGACCTTATAATCTTCTATATGTACTATAGTATTTATAAGTATAAGGTCCTCCCTTTTGGATTAATAAATAGTTTAGCAATTTTCTAATAATTTATTAATAAAATTTTAATAAATTATTTTAATAATTTTTATAGTGCCTATATTAATAATATCCTTATTTTCTTTAAGATTGAAGAAGAATACGAGATATACGTTAAGAAAGTATTAGAAAGACTATGAAACGCCGGTTTATAAGCCGATATTAAAAAAAATAAATTTTACATTACCTTTATTAAATTCTTAGGATTTGTTATATTTATAAATAGTGTTTCTATGGACCCCAATAAAATCTCTATTATTTATAATTAGAAGGAACCTACTAATATAAAAGGGGTCTAATCTTTTATTAATTTCTACAATTTTTATAGGAAATTTGTAAAAGAATTCGGAAGAATTATTCGCCCATTTACTAACCTTACTAAAAAGGATATACCCTTTCGATAGACTAAAGAGTATTAAACGTCCTTTAATAAATTAAAAGATTATTTATTAAAGGTACTAATCCTTATTTACTTTTATTACGAAAAGTTTATACGAATAGAGACTAATACCTTTAATAGGGTTTGTATTAGTATAATATTATAATAATAATCTAAGGATAATAAATAGCACCCAGTAGTATTCTATTTAGAAATTATATTTCTAGTAGAAATGAATTATATTATTTATAATAAAGAATTATTAGCGGTAATAAAGGGTTTCGAAATCTAGCGTATAGAATTAATAAGAATTTATTTATTTCTAATTATAATAGATTATTAAGTATTAGAATATTTTTTAACTAAGTGATTTCTTAATTTTCGTTAAGCCGGGTAGGTTGAATTTATATCCCAATATATATTTAAATTTATTTACTACTTTAGTAAAGAGAATATAGTGGCTAATACCTTTTCCCGGAAATTAGAAGACCTCCGAACTATTAAGGATAAGAAAGAAGATTAAAGGACCCTCTACCTCTTTTAATAAAATAGCCGAGAAATATATTTTTATATTAGAAATAAAGGAGATCTGCCTACGGCTAATATATAGGTATTAGTAGTAGAATTCTACTTATTAGACGATGGATAGGAGCCCCTACTACTATTTAGAATAGAATTAGTTAATACGCTTCTAAAAGTTAACCGAAAGGATTTAACGTTAGTAATTTACCGAATAAAAATAAAGAATAGTAATTCCGAATTCAATTTCCGTCTAAACGGCCTGTTATTTAAGCAAATTAACTAACTTATAGTCCGCAAAGGAGATTTCCATTGTACTCTCATCTATAAAGCTTATGTACGCTTTATTATAAGATACTCCGGTTGCAATAAAACCCGCCGCCTTATATCCTAATAATACTAGTAGGCCGGTATATCTAGCGATATCGACTGCTTTATTAATAACTACTAGATTTATAAAGCTTCTAAAATTCTACGTAATAAAACCCCTAGTCTTTTATACCCCTTAGGAGTACCTAACTATTTATAGTAATATATTATTATTAATTTTAAAAGTATATTAAAGGATAAGCAAGGATATAATAATATAATAGTAATAGTAGACCGCTTATTTAAAGCCTCCTAGTACATCCCGTATAAAGATACTATAATAGTTAAATAAATAATTTACTTTTATTACTATAGTCCGTAGAGGGTATACGGCTACCTAGAAGAAGTGGTTAGCAATTGCGGTCCGTAATTTATCTCTTCCTTTACTAATAAAATATTGAAGATTCTAAGTATTAAATAGAAACTATCTTCCTTAAAATATTCCTAAACTATTAATTAAGTAGAGATAATAAATAAATATATTAATTAATGCCTTCGATTATTTATTAATTATAATTAAAATAATTAATTAGAGGCGCTCTTTACCCTTAATATTATTTAGGCCTCCCTTCCCTACAAAAATATTAGTATATCCCTGTATAAAGCTATTATAAGTTACTTAATACTATTATTATTCTATTAGGACCGATATATTATAATCCCTATTTTGGTAAAGGAGAGATATTTAAAGGAGGAAGCTTAGGAAGTAATAAGAATTCTATATGGGTTTTAAGAATTAATTTGCACTACTATAATTAAAAAGTAGGAAAAATAAATTATATAAATTAATAAATATTATTACGAACCCGATTTTGGGGTAGAAGATCGTATTTTTATTATTAAAAAATTATAGGCTACTAATCGATCTAATAATAAATTTGATTTCCCCCTTACCCGTATACTATATTATATTAAAGTTTTGTCCGGGTATTCCTACGAAGTAGATTTACTACTTACGTAGCAGGGAATTAGAGTATATTATACTAATTAATTTTGTAAATACCTAAATAATTCTCTACTGGGTTAAATAAATAAAAACCTAATAGGAGAAATGGTCGGAGACTAAAAAGAGTAGGAGGTCGAAAAAATTATAATATTGTGCTTAATTAATAGGAAACTCTATTACTAAGTAGAATAGAAAGGTTAGGACCCGGATCCTACTTAGTATTCTGCTTGAAATTTTAAGAATATACCTAACGTACTTAAAACTTACTATAATATAAACCCTGAAAAGCCCGGTTTACTACGTTGCCTACGTATTTAAAAAGGCGCTTAAATAAAGGATTTAGTATTAAGCGATTATAAAAATAATAATATACCTATTAAGGGAGTATAGGGACGATTATTAAGGAGGTTGAATCGATTGCGTAAGTAAGGAAAACGAGGATAGGGATAGAATAATAAGTAATTACTATTAGAGTATATATAATAACGATTTGTAGAATTAGTCTAATAACGTAGTAATAGGAGTAAAGGCCCCTAAATTATATTATAGGCTACTCCGAAGGTACCCCTCCTCTGTTTAGAAAACGATCGTATATAAAGACTATAAGTTCGAACTATATTTGGGTTAAATTTTTTTTTTTTTTTAGTAAGATCCTAAGGGTAGAATCTTCGAAAAAAGGGGGGGGTAATATTATAGCCTAATCCCGCTGACCTATGCCTACTGCCCAGTCGCATGGCTGCATTGTACGGTTGCTCGGATGCGAGTAATTTAATTGGTTGTAGATTAGATAAGGAAGAGTAGTCCGGGCGCTCGAAGGTCTGGAAGCATATCTTCCAGCCCAGCAGCCCGCACAACTCTTACCTTTTATTTTACTCTTTAGTCGTAAATTTTATATTGAACGTCAATAACGCTGCAGCCCTGCCTCGCCCGTTACGTGCCTTCATAGGAAGTAGAATTTATATTAACATAAAAAGGGCGTAAAGAAACGTAATTTATTATAATCAGTAACTATTAATATATTTTTAAATTAACCCC